GGTGCTGTGGCTCAAGTGGTAAAGCGCTAGCCTTGAGCTGAAGAGCTGAGGGACAGCGCCCAGGCCCAGCGTTCAGGCACATAACCAAAAAAAATTATTTAAAAAAAGATGAGTAAGATATACAGGAAGAAGTCACTGTGCACATATCATATTGAAAGAAGTGAGAAGAATATAAAATTAAGAAAAGTGAGGGAGGTGGTAGGATGGGAGGAATGGCTGAGAATGTCGAAAGCACTGACAATGACCCAGATGCACTGTATTTATAAATTTCTTTGTTGATGGCAACTCCTCTGCACAACTACTTAAATATAATGAAAAGATATCATGAGTGGTTACAGATTCATTTTCACAGTTTGACTGAAAATTATGATCTTTAAATTCTGCACTTACTCTTCAACCAAAATCTTAATAGACCTTTTGACAGAGAGGAAATTTGTTTGCTTTCAGATTCATACTAGAGTCAGAAGTATAATCATCCCATGATGCCCTTAGTAAAAACACAATTTTGATAAACACCACTACGTGGCTTTAAATTAGTTTTCAAAATGTAACGAAGCATTGAACATGTGCTTAACCTAGTGTAAATCGGCTTCACATAACTTAATTATTTTCATTTCAGATGCAAGTCTGATCAAAAAGTTAATATTTGAGCAAAAAATGAAATGTTAATGCATTTTCTTCGTATGTAGAAAACATAGGTAGACAGAATAGGGTGAGATCAGACAGGAGAGAGTCAATCAAAAGGACTGTTGAAGGCATACGTCTACATTCCTTAACACAGCTAATTTCCATATTTACTCACCTGTCTATCCTGACAGCAAATATGATATTACTCCATTGCCGGGACTTACCATCATCCTTCACAAGTCAGTGTTGATGGTCTATGATTTTTCTTTATGAGTGCTTTTTAATCCAAATATATCTCCACTTACAAACCTAGTAAGAATTAACAACTTACACTGATCATATTTTTATTTTTTTAATAATTTTTTTGCCAGTCCTGAGGCTTGAACTCAGGGCCAGAGTTCTGTTCCTGGGCTTCTTTTGCTCAAGACTAGCACTGTTCCACGTGAGTCACAGCAACACTTCCAGCTTTTTTCTGTTTATGTGGTACTGAGGGATCGAACCCAGGGCTTCATGCATGCTAGGCAAAGCACTCTACCACTTAGCCACATTCCCAGCCCTCAAATTCATTTTCTTATTTAAAATACTGGATAGAATTTTGTGCAGTGAATTGTGCACAAGGCCCTGCTATTGCTTTGGAATCTTCCTGCATTGTACCTAAAGTGGATATAGGTTAGAACTGTGGTCACATGATCAGCATGGATTCAGATTCAATATACTGGAGGTGAGTAAAAGATGAGCAGTTTGCAGGATGGCCAGTGATAAAACTAGAAAGAATTCTTAGACACTAACTTTGATCATGTATTTAACTAATTGAAACTTTTAATTTTAATGTTAAAACTTTTTAAAATGTTCTAACTTTTAACATTGTGTAAAATAAAACTATTAGGTGTGTCTGCACTTTTTTTTTCCAGTCATGGAGCTTGAACTCTGTTGCTCAAGGCTAGTGCTCTACCACTTTAAGCTATGGCACCACTTCCCATTTTCTGGGGTTTAATTGGAGATAAGCATCTCCTGGAGGCTTTCCTTCCTAGCCTGGTTTTGGATACTCAGAGCTCAGTCTCCTGAATCGCTTAGGATTACTAACGTGGGCCATCAGTCTATGTGGCAGAAAAAACATAAAACTTAATATTTAAAAATTCAGCAATTCTCAAATAAAATAAAATAAAATTTAAAAAAAAAAGCTATTTATGGCAAAAAATTGGGACATACTGTAATCAATGAAAACTATTTATTATGAAGGGTTAATAAATGTTTTGGCAACATATAGAAAAGACAATAAATCTATTTTTGTTTTAAAAAAATTCAGCAATTATAACAGCTCAATAAAAGAGACTGAGAGATTTAAAAACCAAACTGAACAAATTTGAATCTGATGTCATGGTATATTTGCTGGCAAAAAAAAGCCAATAAGCATGTGAATATTTGGGGCTTTAGTTTTGAAAATTATTTTTAAATTAACTTTTAAAAGTAATCTAATAGGATCAGATTAAAAGTGTGTGTTTATATGTATGTTTGTGTATGTATGTATATGCACACACATGCACAGCCAGAGGATTGTATGACACTTTGAAGCTTGGCAAACATAAAACACAACCATTATACTGATGAAGGGTTGAAAATAATTTACAAAATTAATTTAATAAAATGCCTAGAACAATAACTAAGTTATTAACAAAACAACAGATGAAGCCATCTGCATTTTCATTTAACAATACATTTAAGGCAAATGTTGAATCAATATAAAAATAATATGCAGTATAACTAATATCTGACACAAGATACAACAAAAATTAATATCCACATCAGAGACCTACAGTTCTGACAATGTCTTCTGAAAAATTTTTGTAATTGCCCAGTCATGTTACAAAAAGGTCAAGATGGCTACCTAAGGTATCAGTCAGAATGTCAGACTACTTCTTAAAACAGAAAACTGCATCTCTCCTTACCATGCCAGGTAAAATTACTTAATATATTCATTTTGACAAAAGGCTCATTTTTAATTCCAAACTATAGGATTTTTTTTTTTACTGTTTAGTACTAACTCTGGTTCTTAAAGATAACTACAGTTGACGTTCTAATCCTAATGCTTTTCCTAACAGGAGTATGTTTATTCTGAAAGCATTGACTGTATCTCACCCTGTAATTGACTTTAGATGGAAAAGTTTCATCATTTGGAAAAAATCTACCATTTATGTATATCAAAGTGTCTACTACATTTTGTAAAACAAACACAAATTTTGCACTCAGCAAGCTGAGTTTCTACATTTAATTTTACACTGTTCTTCTGGGATGTTCCACACATCTCTGTGCCTCACTTCCTGGACTGCAAAATGAGACCCTTGACCCCCCAGTCTTCAAAGGGTAAGAGGAAGTTTAAAAAGAGCTACTGCGCATGTCTGCGCCAGGCCCCCTAGCAGGTCCCAGAGATTCCTAGGGGAATGCCTGTATCTTGTCTCTCTCTCTTCCTTCGCTGGCATATCATGGTCAACTGGAGATTAGTGGGGAAAACAAAGAATAGAAGTTACTGGAATAAATCAGCTCCACTAAAAGGTCCATGTGCTTTACAGGCAACAGTTACACATTTCCAAAGTGACATTCGAGGAGATAGACTGCTTTAAAAAAAATGTTATTTACACTTTACAATTCATGTGAAGGAAACGATTTCTCAGAGCAACAACAACCAAAAAGATTAAGAGCAAATCAGCTACGTCTGCATACAGTTTAATTTTGTAAAAACAAACAAACAAACAAAATAAAGAAATTGACCTAATTTTATCAAATACTGAAGGTTCATGGACAGGTAAGAGAAATACAGCTACTTCAGTATCCATCTACATGAACATTCAAAAATATCAAAATATAGATTCTCTAAGGGAAAGATCATTTCTTCAGTAGGATGGAGAAGAATTACACATTGCTATTATTTGTCCATGAGACCTAAAAAAGGTGCTATTTCAAACAGGAGTCTAGTAGGACTTGGCACATAAATTCACACTTCTCGCCCATCCCCCCAAGAACTTTCCACTTTCTAGTGCTTCACTCACCCGTACACATATACAAACATTAATATTAAAAACACACATGGCTGCCAAGCAGGAAACTCATTCTAAAGTTCCATTTTTCTACAACAAACACAGTTCACCATATTTACATCCACCATCTGTCACAGAAGTTGGTTTTGCCCATAGAACTGACAGTTAGGTCCAACACTTCCAAATGTGTCTCTAGAGGATTGTTTGATTGTGAGCAAGCATATCTAAGGCATCGAAGTAACCCCCGCCCCACCCTCAGAGAGGACCAATGCTGTACTTGAAATGATATTCTCTTGATAAATTTAGCACATCTTCAGTCTTCAAATGCTATAGGCCAGGACGAACATAGAGAGACATTCGTAGTCTACAGGTGGTTGGCTCAAAGGTCAAAAACTTGTTCTTTAAAGATGTGTATGGAATAGCACCATGTGAATTCTTCCAGAAACGAATCCCCCTTCCCATCATTGCATTAAAAAAAATCTGAATTCCAGGAAGAGGAGACATAGCAGAGAAAAGAGAAAGAAATCTTTTAATTTCTCACAAAGCCCGCTTCTACTTCAACTTTTTTTTAAAATACACTAAATTCTATGACAATATCAACAGTAATAACTACACCAATCACAGACCAACCACAGAGAAAAGATAATAGCAGCAACAACGGCAGTCACTTAATAAGAACCACACAGGTAGTTCATTTAGGAGATTCCTGTACACCCCTTGCGGGCATTGTCTTAGAAGGTTCATAAGACATCCCCGGCATCCTGGATTTGGTGAGGGGAAAAAAAGGTGGCACTTCCACAGAGAGAAGTTTACCAGGGTATTTTTTTCCCAGTAATTAAATAAGTGATGTTGAGAGTGTTAAGTAACCGCATTCACAGACACCAGGGACAGGTCAGGGGCATCCACGTGTGAGGGCGTGGTCATTATCATTTCTGTTTTAAAGAGGTTAAGCTGGCCTGCAAGTGAAAAGGATGAAGCTGAAATATTCCAGTTTCCAAACATCCAACACACACACACACACACACACACACACGCATGCACGCACGCACGCACGCTCGCACGCACGCTCGCACACATTCTTAAAGTACAAACCACCTTTAAAACACTCCTACTTCACACCCACTTCTAGGCATCTGGTTTCCACTGTATCTGAGATACAAAGTCAAAGCAAGTATGCTAAGACAAAGAAGAGAGTTTTCCAGTTTTAGACTTGCAAGATGGCTGTGGATCTCCCAAATCTTGATAAAGAATCATAGAACATTCCACAGGGTCACGACCCCTGAACTGATCTGTTAGTGTTGTGAAGCATCTGTTTCAAGCTGTAAGAAAAGGCTAGATGTCTCCTGGTAGCATGTGAGGCTCTTCATCACGCATGGAGTTCAAATACCCTTCTTGTAATGCTGATCAAGATTAACTGGAAGTGTCTCTTTTAGTACAGAGATAATTCTAGTCTTACAGTTTTCTGTTTTTGTTGTTCAAATTCATTATATAAAACAGTTGTGCTCATATCATCAGTTTAGAAAAATATGTCTTCTCTTCATTTGAACATTTGTTTATCTTCAAACAGAGGTGCCGGTGTTATTTTTTGGTATGCATGGTTTCTGGATATTTTATGCTTTTGTATCTTATGTAAAATCCTTTTTTATTGATGGTGTCATCGGTGTGAAAGTGAATTAAAACTGTATCCCCAACTGAATAGATTTCTTCTGGTGGCTAAAGGGGAAACAAAGTAAAGAAGCAATGAAAATGGGTCACATTTCTTCCATGTTATGCATGTTTAATAATGTTTTCTTTGGTATATAAACAACCTTGAACACTATTTATGAGTGACTTCTGCTTTTTATAGATAATGAAACAAGATCTTCAGAAAGACCAAGTCAGAACTATGCTGAGCTTTGCTTCCAAGTTCTAAGCACCCTTCTAGAGTTTGGGATGCTTTCCTCCAACACTTAAGACCAACTGCCTTGATTTACAAATACTAAATTGAAGTTCAGAAAGGATAAAGAGGTGGTAAATCTGATGCTGAAGTTAGTCTGATTTGGAGCCTCTTCCAGTACCTCAATCTTCCAGTAGTTCTTATTTTAATAACCTAGCTATTTAAAAGCCATTTTATTTTTTCAGGTGTTACTTAGGCTGGAATTCAACAATGTCATGTAGGCAGCAGATACCAGTTTTCCAAGACAAAAACTTAGAGCTACTATTTTACAATAAACTATGAGTTCAGAAGACTCATCTAGATTAATACAATGCATCCCAGGAACAAGGTATTGAGAAAACCTTAAAGTGTTCTCTTCTTATTTCTCACCTGAAGTTCCTTGACCTGCCTCCAGCACCCCATAAATATACATACAACCCCATGCAATGGAACAAGTGTCTGTATACTGGCTAGGCACACACACACACACACACACACACACACACACACACACACACACACACACAGTGACCTTGGCACTCCCACCCAAATCTGTTTTTTGAGAAGGAAATTTAATTTTGAATGGTATGCCTATTCTTTTTCTTTGATTTTGTGTTTTAACTTAGGAGAGTTAAAGGACATTGAAAAGAGTGTTTGCTTAGATATACTGACTATAGAGTACTAAGAATTTACAAATACGTTGTGCAATAAAAATGCTGAATGCAAATGCTAACCTTAAGTCATCTGCTAATTTTATACCGTCACATAAATTTCCATTAGAAGCAGAAAAGCAAGAAGGGTAGAAGAGACATATAACCTCTCATCAGGCTAGTAATAATACCCAGTTGTAATTGTTACACATAGCAATCATAAATTAATAGGCATTTAAAAGTGGTATCTAAAGTGTCCTGTAACTAATGTATTTACCCCTGATCCACAAAATCGACCAAGCTCCACAGCTGCTGAATCAACACCGTCGAAGAGTTCAACATAGTCATATCCACAATCGGCTTCTTCTTCTACTTCAAAAGTCTGAAAAGATAACTCAAGCCGAGAGCCTTGTTCTGATACCAGCAGCCATTCACAGTCAAGCTGTCCTGGGTAATTGTTGTCACCAAATTGTGCATGGGAGTACAGATCTTTGGGTTTAGGTTCTGCTTTCAATCGGCCACCACACTCTACCCAGGAAAGAAAAACAAAATGAGTACATTCAGTGAGTTTCCACAGGTCCAATTTCAACGTCTAAATGCTCTGTGACCTCAGTTTCTCCTTTTAGCCTCAGATAGGGCAGTAGAGAATCAGAGAGTGCCACAAATGTTGGCACAGGCTCCAGATCCAGCCTTCCTAGGTTGGAAAGTCGGCGCCTGCGTCCACGAGCCCTGTGATCTGGGTAAACAATGTCATTGCACTGATCCACTGTCCTCCACAGAGAAAGAGACAGGTGATAATAATGACACCAATATTAGTTGGTTTTTAGAATGTATTGACCAACATCACCCCAGGGGTGTGCACATACAAGGCAAGTGTTCTTCTTCTGAGCTACACTAGCCCTGCACAACCTTACTTCTAAAACAAAGACAATACACAGTATCTCCATCATAGGGTGTCGATGGATAGGAAATGGATTACTGCATAAACATTTCATCATAGCGAAAGCCCAGAAAATACTGATACTGCCATTATTATTATCATTTGCCTATGAGATTTAAATGTCACCAAGTATTAGCTGAAAACCCAGACAGAATTCAGTAGCACTTTCAGATACTTAATCTGCTCTCGGAAAAGAAACCTTATATTTAACTTTCAAACAACTGTCAAAAAACTTAGGTGATTTTGGCTCGACAATCCAGGAAGATGTTTGTGTTCCCACTTTACAGAAACAAAGTAGGGAAATCAATGTCAAGACCCGGAAGGTACAGCTTCTCATCAGCTTGGGGGAAAATGTCAAAGGAAGAATACAAACATCAGCGAGAAAATGAGGTGTGTGAACATGTAAGAAAAGGAATTCCATCATATTTACAAATCTGAAAATCACTGAAAGGAGTTGTTTTTCCTTCTGTTTTTTTTATTTGTAAAAACTTGCTTACTTTTAGAAACAAATGGTTTAAACTACACATATGAATGATTAAAACACACCTCAAGAAGTTCACTGTGCATCTATTGGTTTCAAGGGATTCCTAGAGATCATAGTTCCCACCAAAAAAAGAAATCAGAAAATAATAATCTGGCCATGAGAGAAAAAATGAGAATATCTTAAAGATGAACATTTCATTGTTATTTACACAAGAAGGATGGTTTTAATGAATTATTACATGACATGAACAGAGTTATTTGAGTGCTTTTGAGAATCCCATGACTATTTAAGCTCTGGGTCATCATAGCTTTCAACATTTTCCTTTAAGAGATGATTTTCAAAGAGAGTAAACATGTTTTCAACAAATATGCCTATGAATTTGCCAAGCCTGGAAAAAAGAAAAGATGGCATTTGAAATATCAGCAATAGTGTTGTTAAATCAGTGGTTCAAAAGTACTTTACAAACTTCCAGAGAATTTTCTATTTGACTATGGGGAACAGAAAAAAAAAAAAAAGGAGAAGGTAAGGCAGGAGTATATCTTCATGTTATCTGGAAAGGCATATTTGCTTGTGTCCTGTAAATATTAAACTCTGTAACAGCTCCTGTAATTTAGCCTACGAATGTGGACATTCTAATTTATTTTGATCAAAATACTTCCTTTTCTAAGAAACATTAATATATTATTGAATTTTAAATGCCATTGACAAATAATAGGATACTATTTACTAGTTTAAAAAAAAAAAAAAAACCTGTTCTGTCAGACAATGCTACCTTTTAAAAATTACTCTCTTGCCGGGTGCCGGTGGCTCACGCCTGTAATCTTAGCTACTCAGGAGGCTGAGATCTGAGGATCATGATTCAAAGCCAGCCGGGGCAGGAAAGTTCGTAAGACTCCTATCTCCAATAAACCACTCAGAAAACCGGAAGTGCTGCTATGGTTCAAGCAGTAGAGCACTCGCCTTCAGCTGAAGAGCTGAGGGACAGCGCCCAAGCCCAGAGTTCAAACCCCATGACCGACCAAAAAAAAAAAAAAAATTACTCTCTCCCTATTTTGCCCCTCAAGTGCTGCAGCCATATCTTCTAAGAGAAGACTCAATATATGCTTAGCGGACAAAGCTTTTTCTCTCAATTAGCTGACTTCAACCTGGGATGATGAATTTGTTTCCTTATTAAAATAAATTCAAAGTTAACATGGACCAAATATCAGACAAAGAAACAGTTCTTGCACTATAAAGTGATAATAAAATTGAGAAATGAAATAGTTAAAAATCTAGGTTCTTCAGAGTGAAACAAAAAGGAAACAAAAATTATGTTTAGGAAATCATAACAAAAATAATTGCTTTAAAATAATATGTGCGAAACCAAGACAGAGTTCGTCCAGAGCTATACTCAAGCTGCATACATCAGCTATGCCACTAGGTGGTAGTGGAAGCTAAATGATTTCAGCAAGTATCTATAATTTTTAAAAATCCCTTAGATATTTTAAGAAACATGCAATTAAAAAATTGTAAGTAAAAGGACCTCTATGATGAAAACTTTAAAATCTTGAAAAAGGAAATCAACACAGAACTAAAAAAATGGCAAAGCCTCCCATGCTCCTGGATTGGAAAGATTAACATCGTGAAAATGGCAATACTTCCCAAGGCTATCTACAAATTCAATGCAATACCTATCAAAATTCCAACCTCATTCTTCAAGGAAATAGAAGAGGCAAACCAAAAATTCATATGGAACAATAAAAGACCCCGAATAGCAAAAACGCTCCTCAACGGAAAGAACACTGCTGGAGGAATATCAATACCAAATTTCAAACTCTACTATAAAGCCATAGTAATCAAAACAGCTTGGTATTGGCATAAGAACAGACCTCAGGACCAATGGAATAGAATTGAAAACCCAGAAATGAACCTACAGACCTATAGCCAACTAATCTTCGATAAGGGAGCTAAAACAATAGAATGGAAGAAAGACAGCCTCTTCAGTAAATGGTGCTGGCAAAACTGGTTAACTACATGTAGAAAACTAAAGCTAGATCCTTATATATCACCCTGCACCAGAATCAACTCCAAATGGATCAAAGACCTTGAACTCAAAGCAGACACTCTGAAAACATTACAGGATGGAATAGGAGAAACCCTAGGTCTCCTTGGCTCAGGCCGAAATTTTTTGAATAGAGACCCGGAAACACAACAAATCAAAGAAAGGTTGGACAAATGGGATTGCATAAAGTTGCAGAGCTTCTGCAGGCAAATGACATAGCTAACAAGATCAATAGAAAGCCCACGGATTGGGAGAAGATCTTTACTAGCCATACAACGGACAAGGGTCTCATATCTAAAATATACTTGGAACTCAAAAAATTAAACCCCCCAACAACAAATCCTCAAAGAAACAACTGCCCAATAAATAAGTGGGCAAAAGACTTAAAGAGAAACTTCTCTGAAGAAGAAAGAAGGATGGCCAATAGACACATGAAGAAATGTTCAACATCCCTAGCCATAAAAGAAATGCAAATCAAAACAACATTGAGATATCACCTCACCCCAGTTAGAACGGCAAAAATCAAGAACTCTAACAACAACAGATGCTGGAGGGGATGTGGACAGAAAGGAACCTTACTTCATTGTTGGTGGGAATGTAAACTTGTTCAACCACTTTGGAAAGCAGTATGGAGGTTCCTCAAAAGACTTCACATAGAACTCCCCTATGACCCAGCAGTCCCACTTTTGGGCATTTACCCAAATGTTTACAAACAAGACCACACTAAAGCTACCAGCACAACTATGTTTATTGCAGCATTATTTACCATAGCTATATACACAATGGAATTCTATGCCTCCATCAGAAAGAATGACATTGCCCCATTTGTTAGGAAATGGAAAAACTTGGAAAAAATTATATTAAGTGAAGTAAGCCAGGCCCAAAGAAACATAGGTCCCATGGTTTCCCTTATTTGCAATATCTATTATATGTATGAGTCAAGCGGAAAAGGTCAGATAATGTGATGTCAGGAAAATGAACCCTTAGATGTGTATTTTACTGTTTTTTTCTTTCATGCATGTGTTTCTAACGCATTTATAAGATTATTTCTTTGTTGCTTTGTATGTCCCTCCCCCACAGTATAACCCCTGCTTTCACTATATTTGATGTCAGTATAACTTGTGGAGGAGATGGGGAAAAACCAGTTGTTTAAGGATACAGGTGGACCTGTTGCAACAATGAGAAGTACAAGTTGTCATGTCCAAAACGAGCTTTACAACGTCGGTGCGGGGGGGCGGGGGGAGGAGAAGGATTGGGATTGGGGGTGAGGGGGGAGGCTAGGAAAGGATGTGAAGGGTAAACCAAAGGAGGAGGCTGCAATGCTTGGTAAGAAATGTACGCATTATCCTGCCCATGTAATTGTAACCCCTCTGTACAGTATGTTCACAAATAAAATTAAATTAAAAAAAATTGTAAGTGTATTGTATGTGTGTAATATATATATAATATAAAATGTTTCTCTAAATTAAACTGTTAAAGATTAATTGCAACTTCTAAAATTTGAATTGGAGATTAGGCCTAGAACAAAAAAAAGATTATGTTCCATAGCAAATTACCAAAAATGCCGAAGGCATGATTCAGTAGTAAAGCACCTGCCAAGAAAGTGGAAGGCTCCAAATTCAAGTCCCAGTACTTAAAAGGAGAAGGAAAAAGAGGAGAAGGTGAAGAAGAGAAGAGAAAGAAGAGAAGATGACAGAGGAGGATGCAGAGGAAAGGAAGAAGTGGAGAAGGGGAAGAGGAAAAAGAAGAGCAAGGAGTTGGAGAAGAAGAAGGAAGAAGCAGAGAAGGAGGAGTGCCAGCATCTCATGCTTGTAATGCTATTTTCTTGGAAGGCTGAGAGCAGAAGGATCAGCACATGAGGCCAATCTCGGCAAATGTTCACCATCACAAAGGAGAACTAGAGATATGCTTAAGTGGTAGAGTATGCTAGCAAGCATGAGGCCCTGAGTTCAAATCCACTACCTCAATTACGCCCTCTGTTTATAAAATACACGAGAGGAAAAGCTAACGAACCCTACAGCTTATTATACAAAATGTAAATTTCTAATACCTAGGTATAGATTCCTGTCTGCTAAAGTTAACAATAGAGATATGTCTACTTCTCCATATCGCATGGATTACAAATCATATTCAAACTCAGTTCCAGTTTTGCAAAGCTATTCAGGTAGCAGCATGCTCAGTAGTTCTGAAAATATCTCAAAATGTCTGTCAGTGAGTTTCTTGGAGCTTCATTTATGATCCAGTTACTGGACCTAAAACATACACTCTCCAGAAAAGAAACTTGGAGCTTCATCAGAGGAGAGAAGCTACCTGTGGAATGGGTGGCTTGAAAGCCCTTTCTCTGAACGGAGGCATCCGAAATGAACCGAACAAACATTTGATTTCCTGTCGCCACAACGGGGTCTGGGATCTTATTGCCACACAGACGTCCAAGAATAGGTGACTTTTCAGTTTGTCCATCAAATACTTCTAAGTGATCATAGGCACATTCTTGATGCTGCTCTATCTCAAACTCACTGAAGACCTAGTTTAAAGAAAAAGGAGAAACAAATAGTAAATCACAATAACCAGTATGCATTAGAGTCATTAGTTGTTATAATCATTATAAGTAAAAAGGAATTTTCACTTCATCAGACAAAAAAAAACACCACTGAATGGTACAAAAAGAAAATTTTGAAAGACAAAACACAAAGAATCTCACTGGAAATACCACACATTGTAGAGAAACACATTGAACATAAAGACTTTAGCAGACAGCATTTATCCTAAAGCACAGCCTATAAACCATCTGACCATAGAAGGAGTTCATGTTATTAAACTTAATACCTGAAATACAGTGCGAGAGTAGAATAAACTAAACACAACACATGGGATATAGAAGACCCTAAATGAATGCCTGGATGTCTGAGTAAGTCATATCAATTCATTTATCAAAGCATCAATTTCAAGAATATGACCAATTAATTGCACATATGAAAATGAATACTGTAGATATGACCAGTCAAATCTTCTGGATTTCTGCCACTCATGAAGGCTGCCCAGTTACCCTGGACAGTCTTAGTATTAGTTTGCAACCAATGAGAAACTACCATGAGAAATCTGGATCAATTCCACCCATCCTTTTTTATTAGCTTCTGAATTATTAGAGTAGAATTTCAAGAGTATAAAACCTTGCTTTAAGAAAGAAAAACTGGGAAGGTGGCTCAGTGGTAGAGCCCTTGCCTTGCATGCCTGAGGCCCTGGGTTCGATTCCTCAGCACCACATAAGCAAAAAGAAAAAAGCCGGAAGTGGCGCTGTGTCTCAAGTGGTAGAGCGCTAGCCTTGAGCTGAAGAGCTGAGAGACAGCGCCCAAGCCCAGAGTTCAGGCCCCATGACCGGACCCCCCCAAAAAAAAAGAAAGAAAGAAAAACACATTGTCTGAAAACCATTCCAGTTCTCATCATTATCTGTTTTGACTGTGACATGAATACAAACTTTGGTTTCGATTATGTATAAATACAAGATGCACAGGCACAGGCATGGGTAGTATTATGTAAGGGTAACAATATATAAGGCTAATATTCTTTTATTTATATCCTATAAGTAATGACTGAAAATGGATCTAAATTTACAGACCCAATGTGTTGAGACCATTCACAGAACCACTGAAAAACTAGGTGAAAGACATCAATAAATGACTACTTTACTCTTTAATGAAATCTGAGATTCTGGAAGTAAATAATAACATCTGTTTACCAGAACAAAACAGTACTATACAAAGTGACATTGAGCTAGTATATTTCGGGCAGGTTGTTAGGTCAACTGAAAAGATTAGGTAGTCTTTTTCCAGAAATCAGCCTGACCTATAGGTCCAAGCCACATAATCAGTCAGCACAGATGCTGAGATCTTGTAAGTCAAAGAAAGTCTACAGCAAAGAAAAGTGTTATAGGAGCCCTTAGGAAACTGGAATAGCTTAAAAAATGTTTCTGGAGTTCACAAGACAAGGGATTATACACAATTTGCTGCTGTTGCACATGCTGACCCATGAGTCTTCCTATCTAAATGATACAGAATGTGAAATTTTGTAGCCCCAGGAACCCAAAGCCACAGGCAAGTCTCCCAGAGCCATTTGTATTTTCAAAAATCCTGCAGATTTGTAGTGGGAGCAGAAGAGTCAGCAAGACAATATTTGAAAACTCAAAAAAAACCTCTGATTTCTTTTTAAAAAATCCCACTGCCTTTTATGGCTTAAAATTTTTCTTAAGCATTTCCAGTAAAACTTGATCCATTGAAAGTGGTATGGAGGTTCCTCAAAAGACTCCACATAGAACTCCCCTATGAACCAGCAATCCCACTTTTGGACATTTACCCAAATGATCACAAGACCATACTAAAGCTACCAGCACAACTATGTTCATTGCAGCATTATTTACCATAGCTAAGATATGGAACCAACCCAGATGCCCCTCAGTAGATGAATGGATCAAGAAAATGTGGTATACATACACAATGGAATTCTATGCCTCCATCAGAAAGAATGACATTGCCCCATTTGTTAGGAAATGGAAACACTTGGAAAAAATTATATTAAGTGAAGTAAGGCAGGCCCAAAGAAACATAGGCCCCATGGTTTCCCTTATTTGCAATAACTAGTATATGTCTGAGACAAGCAGAAACGGCCAGATTAAGTTGATGTTGGGGAAAATGAGCCCCAAGATAAGGACTCAAATGGTTTTTCTTTCTTGCTATTGTTTCTAACATATTGATAAGATGATTTCTTTGTTGCTTTGTATGTCCCTCCCCTGTTTTCACTGTATTTGATGTTGGTATAATTTGGGGAAGGGAAGGGAAAAACAAATTGTTTAAATAAGGATACAGCTTGACTCATCGCAACAATGAGATATACAAGAGGCTATGTAGAAAAATGAACTTTACAACTTTGGCTGGGGGGGGGGGGCAGAGAATGATGAGAGGGCAAGGATGGGAGGGGAAACAAAGGAGGAGGCAACAATGCTGGATAAGAAATGCACTCATGACCTTGCTCGTGTGATTGTAACCCTCTGTATGGTATTTTCACAATAAAAAAAAAAGATGATGCTAAGCGAAATGAACCCTGAAATAGGGACACAAGTGGTTTTGTCTTTCTTGCTGCTGTTTTTAATGTACTTAGAATGTACCATGTGATTTTTTTGTTTTTCCCCCATGGTATAACCACTGTTTTCACTGTATTTGGTTCTGGGTCCTGCATCTTGTAAATACATTTTTCTAATTTGTGGAAGGGAAGGGAAATAACAAAATGCTCAAATAAGGACCCACTGTAACAATGAGGTGTACAAGACACTATGTTGAAAATGAACTTTACAGCTTCGGGGGAGGACAAGGGAGGAGGCTGGGGAGGTAGGGAGCAAAAGGGTGGTAGGAGAAAAACAAAGGAGGAGGTAACAATGCTCGATAGGAAATGTACTCTTTACATGCATAACTGTAACCCCTATGTACTCTATTTTTACAATAAAAAATATATACAAAAAAATCTAGCTGGATGCCAATGGCTCACGCCTCTAATCCTAACTGCTCAGGAAGCTGAGACCTGAGCATCAGGATTCAAAGTCAAGCCTTGCAGGAACATCCTTGAGACTCTCATCTCCAATTAACCACCAGAAATGGAGCTGTGGCTCCAAGTGGTATATCACTAGCTCTGTGTAAAAGAACTCAGGGACAGCGCCCAAGCCCTGAATCTAAGCCCCATGACCAACAACAACAAAACTTAAAGCATGTTCATTCTCTGATGATGTATCTATGATTCAAGAATTACTCGACTAGGTTTTAGAAAGGCAAAACAATAACAACAACAACAACAACAAAACTCCAGTCAGAAATCTCAATGCATTTCCTACTAGGAAAACTAAGAGATTCAAGAGTCTAATTCAAAAGAACTAACATTGAACTCTTATAGACTATGGAAATAACTGTATGTTTCTGGAATACAGAATAATAATAATCTCCCTGATTGGCTCCTGGGCTTGCATATGCTGTCCCTTCTGCATCTACAGAGACTCTGTTATTAAAAATGCAAGCATTGGCCAAAGGACAGGGTCATGGAAAGCAACCACATATATTCCCAAAAGTCAAGATGATACAGTAATTGTATTTAATACAGCAATAAAATGTGAACTAAGACCAATACAAGGATTGATGCAATTCCAGAAGCTATGAGAGACCGTTTGGAGCCCTTTATTACTAGCTATCTTTTACTTCTGTTTAGAGGAAGAACTGTTATTTGGTTTCTCACAAGATAATCAAACATGGGGAGAAGGGAGAGGGGTGGCACAGAACAAAGTTATCTGATGCAGCCATGAGGCCCGAACTCTGGGTCTGGGCACTGTCCTTCAGCTCTTCAGCTCCACGCTAACACTCTACCACTTGAGCCACAGTGCTACTACAGGCTTTTTCTGCTTAAGTGGTGCTGAGGAGCCCAGGGCCTCATGCATGCTAGGCCAGCACTCTACCACTGAGCCACCTTGCCAGCTCCGCTGTATTTCTAATCATATAAACTTTTTATGGATTTATGGTGACAAATTCCAGAAGTGTTGTTTGATTTTCTTTTTGATAATTATCTCATATGTAAGGCTATAAATGGCCACTATACATTACTTAGCAAAACTTAAAAGATATCATAAGATGAATGACAATGTGGTCTAATGCAGTATTCTCCTAAACGTCTAGATATAAGATTAATTCAAGATATAAGGAAGTACTAAAAGTAATGATGCATTGAGTCTCTCAGAACTGAGACAGGATGAAGCCAGGAGTATAGATGTTGAAGGTCATTCCTTTAGAAGTTTCATGTTTCTCTGGTAGGAAAACTTCTTCCAAGCATCTTTTCATTAAGATTTCAAGCTATCAAACAGTCATGGCTTCATTTCATGGTCACACACACACATCACTAAATTCAAACTAAATTCAAAACTTACACATTCATTTTTCTCTCACTGCTATAGCAAATAACCAGAAATGTATGAGCTTAAAACAAGGCAGACTCTTTCTCCTACAAACTTGAAGGCCAGTAGTCTAAAATGAGCAGACAGGGCTGAGTTCTTTGTAGAGGTCATGAGTGAGAATCTGTTCCTTGCCATTTTCCAGCTGGAGAGTCTCTGTTTCTTTTGTAGGTTCTTGATTCCTTCCACTAATCTCGATGTTCATAATATTACATGCTGGCTCCTATCTAACCTCCTGCCTCCCACTTCTAAGCACTCCATGATCAAACCACAAAAGTAATCTGGGACATTCTCCCCATTTTAAGAGCCTTCACTTCAACCCATCTACAAACTTCCTTTTCAAAAAAGTGCCTTGCAGGAAGGTGGCAGATCACTGGCTCTATGGGTTAGAGTGATGAAGGTCAATATCCCTTATTCTTCCTTTCAAAAACGTAAGGGCTAAACTTTTTCACCCTCTCAGTACATACTATTCAGGGAAGCAATCACATCACTATGAATTTATGATCTCATATTCTCTTTCATTGTTTTTGGTTTACTTTGTTTTTTGCACACCCAGGTTTGCTTTCTAAGGCCTTCAGCTTGCTGGGCTGGCTTGCACAGCTGGCACACTACCATTTGAGACACATATCCAGCTTAGTCTTTTGCTGGTTATTTTGGCAATGAAATCTCATAGACTTGTCCTGCCTGGGCTAGCCTGAAATCTCAGTTGTGTAGATCTCAGCCTCCTGAGTAGCAAGCTAGGATTGCAAGTGCTAGCCAATCGGGTCCAGTTCAGATTTGTTTTCCAAACTTTCTTAGCTCCAGGGAAGATGAACGACATCCCACAGGCTAAATCTGGCCTGCGTCCTGTTTGTAAAATTTGATTTTAGTGGAACACAATAAAATCTATTCATTTGTGTATTGTCTGGCTGTTCTCACAATAAAGTGCTGGCATTAAAATTGTTGCAAAACAGACCATAGTACATAACCTCTATAAAATTTTCTACATGACTGTCTTTAAATAAGAGATTTTCTGAAAAGGGATAATTTGCTACACTTCCCCTTGTTAGAAATGAACTTCGTATTCACAAGGCTGTGGGAAATTTCTTACTGGTCATGATTAAATAATCTAATAAAAAGATTTGTGGTTTGTGTTAAAAATGATCATTACTATTACTGTTTGGATATCATCCATCAATACTTGTTGATATTTAATAAGGCATTACAACAAACATTTTATATATTTTTTCATTTAATACACATACAAAACATGATTCAGCACTAGCCCCCAGCTCCCCATGAACAAATAAAGGCTATCCAAGGATAAATAGCTTTCCCATGATAGAATAGAGTGAGCAGAAGGGCTCGGATCTAGACCCAAGTCTCTGAGTTCAAAACATATGTTCCTAATCTCTCCATAATTCCCTGTTGTATATTTTTTAATTTAATCATTATTACTTTGCCTTGCAAATATAGATTTGCATTTAAGAACTCTAATATAAATTATTAAATCCATGCACCCACAGCAATTATGCATCTCTTCCTTCTCTGATATAAGGTATTACAATAAAAAAGCAAGATAAAGTGTAGAGACAGACTATGTGGATTTTAAGGAATTCAGACTCTTAAAGCTTTTCAAACCTATCAAGTCATCTAAACTTCTAGGGGCCATGTTCACTCTGTGTCACTCCGGAGACCAAACTGAGATAGCATTCATGACATCACCTCGAAAGTATTAGGCCCTGTACACACATTAGTTCTTAACTTCTCTTGAGCCTACATGCAGTGTTTCATAAGACAAGCCCTGCTTACTCTCTGGGAAACCCTTTCAAAACTGACAAGACTGGAAGTCATTTTATTTGTGGAATGGCATGAGGTAGTGGTTATTTAAAAATTTTAGAAGACACTGTCAGCTTCTCCAGATCCCAGTTCTTTAGCTTAGTGCATTATAGAAAGATGCCATTATTTTTAATAACTTCTCTCAGTCAGGACCTTGGACAGGACTGGAGCAATGTCCTTCCTGCCATTCTCATCTCAGTATCTAGAGTCCGTCAGCATGAATCACTGAAATGGTGACTTCGTGTGACAAGGCCTTTACAAGATATGGCAAGTAGAAGGAATTCCGTATCACTGCCTCTGATTTTATTATAATGCTTTAGTTTAAAAAATACTCTTTGTTGGACAAAATAAAAAAAAACACTGAGTAGAAAAGTCCAAACAGAGAAATTAAAACTATGTCTTGTACCTCAATGAACCATTTCAGATGGGTAGACTCATCTTCATTCCTGAGATAATTTTTGTTCTTTAATGAGATGTCTGCTAGACTGTGTTCTAAGCCTTGTTGGCCAGTATTTCTTGCTTCTAAATACAGTATGTGGAAAGTAATTCTCTAATTTCCATATTCCTATGATGTTATTTCCTTAAAGTAGAGAATTTATAAACTCTGTAATTGAAGTCAACATTTAGTTTCAACCAGGACAGATTACAATAGCTAAAGAATGCAGAAGGGAAATCAAACAAAGCAAACAATACTCATATTTGAATTTTTCATATATAATGAGTGTATCAGTATCTTATTATAGAAGATAATACATTATGCAAAAGTGATATTCTCCAAACCATAAGACAAAATCTATTTTATTGTAAAAAATGCTTTGTATATGGGGCACATAGAATTCACAAAACCAGTAGAATGTATTATGTGGTGTTTAGGAAGTGATTTATTCCAATTGTTTTCCCTGCTAAATGCCTGACTTCTTGTTCCTTCATTGATTCTCCCATTTAGGAACACTACTGCCAGTAAATGATTGGAAGGTAAACCCAACGGTTAGCATCCACTTTGGTAATGCCTTCTCAAGCATTTAGTAAAGGACCTTTAATGGTAACTAGAGAAATACAATATGGCTATCCCCTCTTGATCTAGGAAAGCAAAGGTTTATTTAGTGTCATGAGGAAAAGCATGCAAAGGAAGATATTTTCAAGCTGCCCACTGAATCAATTCAATGAACCAAATATTCTCTCCCCATCCCCACCAACTGTGTGCCCCTTACAAAGGCACAGGCATGTAATGGAAAGAAGGATGCGCTCACTTACTAATTTGATCCGATGGCCAGGAATTGTGCTGATTTCCCACGTACATTCTTTCCTGCTTGGGTACTTATCTGGCCAGTTGGGGCTGGTAATGAGGCCACTAGGGCTGTGGATCTTCTGCTCACACTCAGCTGTGCAAAGAAAGACATTATCAGTTGGTGAACAAATCGAATCCAAGATTGGGCTAGAAAACCTACAGCCTATTTTCCCACTGCTCCGTGGAAAGAGTTTCCTGAACACTAGCTACTCATCATTCTAATCTCCGTGATCATACTCATTTGCATTTGGCAAATACACTTCAGGGCACAGTCAAACAATGCTTGTTGTCTGACTCACTGGAATTGTTTAGCACAAATTAGGTAAGCTCCTCAAAGAAAACAAATTATTTAAACTGTTGGCTTTATCCACTGAGACTTCAGTGGAGCAACATATATTGACAAGGCAGAATCTCAACACTGGCTATGTGCAAAACACTTTCGATGGGTTGTACAATTTTTATTAGTTTTCCTTGACCAGCAGCTAATTAACATCAACAGGGAATTTTATAAGTCAAGTATTTACATTTTTTGCTCCCTCTTAGTATATATTCTAATCCTTAAATCATAATTGTAGTTGTTAGAATAAACTTACTTCCATTTCCTCAGAGATATGAAACACTAGGGGAAAATAAGTGAACAGCTTCTAATCTTGAAGATAGATTCTAAACTAACCTCAAAAACTGTCTCATTCAATTAAATGGATGTCAACCATGTTTTGCACAATGTTACCATATTTGGGGAAGTTCTTCACTATTAGAAGAGTACTCTGCCCAGCTGCTAGACTGCACAAGCGGTCCATGCCAAATGAATGCAATCACTATTGTTTTTGTTCCTTAAATCTACACCTATTCCCTAGCCATACTAGATTTTCACAGGGAGGTGCGGATTTGCTGCAGGGGAATGAAAGAGAAAAAGAGAGAGAGAAACTTAGCTCCTACCAAACAAATGAGGATTACCTAACAAAATAATGACCTTAAAAGACTAGGCCCGGAGCTTAGTGGCACAGTGCTTGCCGAGCCTGCAAGCAGATTTGGGTTCAATCCACAGCCCTGCAACATTAATGAATTTTATCATGGTAAGAATTCTGGATTGAGTCATGACAAGGGTTTTCTTGATTCCCTAATCCCTACATTTGTCCTGTCACATGAAATGCAGAGTTTTCAGGATCTACAACAGCCTGCAGCAACGTGAAGATACTTGCAGCTGAACTGTGCATGGTGTGTGTTCTACAGCATACATAAAAGAAAATTCAACCCTTTTCCTGGCAATAAATGAACAAATGAATGAATGATGTTGAGCCAGGCCTGGTGGCTCCTGTCTGTCCCTGGGCAAAACATTAGAGAAACTTCTATCTCAAAAACAAGCTGCGTGTGTTGGTTCAGATCCATAATCACAGTTACACAGAAAGTGTAGGTTAAGAAGACTATGGTTGGAGCTGGGAAGGTGGCTCAGTGGTAGAGCGCTTGCCTTGCATGCCTGAGGCCCTGGGTTCGATTCCTCAGCACCACATAAGCAAAAAGAAAAAAGCCAGAAGTGGCACTGTGGCTCAAGTGGTAGAGCGCTAGCCTCGAGCTGAAGAGCTAAGGGACAGCGCCCAGGTTCAGAGTTCAGGCCCCACGACCAGACCCCCCACCCCGGAAAAATAAAAAAAAAAAGAGAAGACTAGAATCATGCCCAAACAAAAAATTCAGGACCCAACCTACAAACAAAGTAAGAAAGGGCACAAGTGGTAGAGCCCCCGCCACTTATTTTGTTTGTACATATTTTTTATTGTAAAGATACTGTACAGAGGAGTTACAGTTACATGAGTAAGGTAATGAGTACATTTCCTATCCAGCATCGTTACCTCCTCTTCTGTTTTTCCCCTACCATTCCTTCCCTCCACCTCCCTACCTCTCCAACAACTCTCCCCCACCCCCCACAAAAGTTGTAAAGTCAGGTGGACCCATTGCAACAATGAGATGTACAAGTTGTTATGTTGAAAAACGAACTTTACAACTTTGGTGGGGGGGAGACGGGGCAGAGGAGGATACGAAGGGATGGGAAGGGGAAACAAAGCAGGAGGCTACAATGCTTGATAAGAAATGTGCTCATTATCTTACCCATGTAACTGTAACCCCTCTGTACAGTATTTTCACAATAAAAATATATTTAAAAAAATAAAAATAAAAAAGTTGTAAAGTTCATTTTCAACACACCAGTGCCCAGCTTTATACTTACTTTTTAAATGTTTCATTTTTAATTTTTTAATTTTTCTTTTTTCCTTTTTTCTTTATCTCTCTTTTCCTTTCCTTCTATTCTTTTCCTCTCTTTGAATTTAGGTCTTGGTTATATTCCCTTCTCTCCCTTTCCCTCCCCACATTCCTCACAATTTTCTCCTCACAATTCTCCCTAAACCTATTAATTTCTGGTCTAATGACTCTTTCTTTGCTTCTCTTAGTCCATTGATACTTTGTTGTTGAACTAGATTGTATCTGTTGAACTAGATTGTATTGGTACTCATTTTGACTGTGTCAAACAATCTGTGCAACTACAGGGCTCTAGTTGATGCTTGTTTTAAAATAGTGTTCTAGTGCAGAAGTGGTTTTGCTTTCATACCTGCCACTTATAACTAGCAAGTTTTAAACCATCATTAAGGATTTTCCTTTCAAAAATAGCTATGTATCTATTTTAAGTAGAAGATTTCATAGCAGACTCTCAAAGAAGATCTGAATAATTCTTTCTTCTAAATTCTTTCTTCCATTCATCTAACCTGAAAGTTCTTGAGTCCAAACTACAATATTGCCAAAAGAAGGAGGAAGTAAGAGAGAGAAAAAGAGAGAGAGAGAGAATATGAATATTAAGGCTACGTGAACATCATTCTATTTAGAAGGAAAATTTTTACAAAACTATTTCTGGACATATAAAGACGTATTTGTTACTGGTAAACCATGGTAGGTAGGTAGATAGTAAGTAAGTAGATAGGTAGGTAGATAGAGTTAGATAGACAGACAGATAGATGATAGATTGATTATGTAGCTATATAGATGACAAATTTATTGATTACATAGCTATCTATATGTAGACTAGGTACAAATCAGTAAAGGCTTCTTTGGGTTTTTTTCCTGGGTATTTCTTGCTTTCCAGTCTGCAATAACAATTGCACCTGTTATCCCAAACTATTTATTTAATAGCGTATCTCATGAAGTTGCAAATATCCTATATGAAAGTGGAGAAAGAAAAATTCCTGCTTGTGTATGATTTCACACAATGCCATTATCCCAATGTAAAAGGAAAATCCTATCTGAACATAACTGAATGCAAGGAGGTTAGTTCAGAAGGTTCTTTATGTCTTCAAGGTATATGCAAAAATTTACTACCTGACATTTTAGTTGGGTCTACAAACACTGAAGTTACATATAAAAAGCTCTCTTAAGAAATTTCCAGGAAATAGTGCTGTAGCTCAAGTGGTAAAGTGCTTGCCTTGAGCTAAAGAGCCTAGGAACAGTGCCCAGGCCCAGAGTTCAAGCCTCACAACTGACAAAAGAAAGAAAGAAAGAAAATTCCATTCAAGACAGGCATACATCCAGTCTAATCAGGAAATTCCAGAGAACACTCTCGAAAGAACAAATAAGAATTGAATAATTATGTTTTTCTCTCCTAACCCATAGTACCCGAGAAAAGTAAAAGTTTTGTATTAAAAAAAACCTGAAGTTTTATAAGGCACTGGGATCAAAATATTTTGGCTAATTTTGTGCTACTAATATGCTGTGGGGTTTTGTTTGGATTTTTTTCCCAAAATCCTGAGTTAAATCTTTAAATGGCACAGTAGCTGCCACTGACAAAAGTCTTCACTTTGGTAGACGTTTGAGCAGGACGCTACTGGTATTTAAGAGGTTCCTCACATGTCACACAGCTACAAGAACAGATGGCTATCACATCAAATGGAAAACGTTTTTGCAAAAATTAGCCTCATAGGATCTGATCTAGAATGACCCAAGGATCATCGCAGCTTCTCAATCTGTAGTTATTCTACTGCCACCCTGTGAAATGTAAAAAGCTTTAGATGATACAATAACATCTCCATGATACAGCTTACATCTTTGCATGTTATACACTATTTTTCGTCTTTAGCCCTGTTAAGATTTATCCACATAATTAGTATTCATTCAGCGAATTCATATAATATTAATAATGATGAAGCAATTAATTCTGCTCAAGAGCCAAGCTTTACTCCAACCACATGAAATCAGAGATGTCAAGGAAAGTGCTGTCTTCCCCTACCTTCTTTGCAGTCATGTTTGTTTTCATGCAGCACGAAGCCATTCCGACACTGACACATGTAACTGCCCATGGTGTTGACACATTCGTGCTGACATCCGCCATTATCCTTAGAGCATTCATCTTTGTCTGGCAAAGAAATGAACCCCCCCCCCCAACTCATTAGTCAGTAGCTTCAAAAGCAAAGAAAACATCATGTGGTGAATACTGGCAAAAGGTACACTAAGCCACGATTTTCTCCCTTCCCTGCATACAACAAACACAGGTTTAAGGTGTTGAAGTTCTCTCCTGTCCTTATTGAGCTTGGAGCCTTGGATTGTGTCATTAAGTTTCCATCTCTTAATGGATCAACTTATAATCCACTTTCATTCCTGTGATGGTGTAGAAGGTTTTTTTTTTTTGAGGACATAAGCAAAAATGAACAAATCTTTCGCCAAATAATTCCAAACACTTCTGTTTCTATTCTTAAAAATAATTTTGAAATGTCAAATAAAGGCAAGAAATATCATTAACTTAGATTAAAATCCTTCTTTCTGTGTATGTATATATATATATATATATATGTGTGTGTGTATATATAGATGTATATCATCATATGACAACAGAGGCTAAAATTGTTTTCAAGATCTGTATGTGATTATTTCCGTCATTCCTATCATTGATATTTTTCATTAACTTTACACATTTACTAAGCATGAATGAAGGTAGATATGCTGAAATATTCCAAGGCAATGAAACATATCATTAGCCCATGCTATAGATGACACTTAATTTATATATTGTAAGCAAATCAATTTCTGATAGCCTAAATCCACTAATAGAGTGTTTGGAATAGGCAACACCAGTTTTAAGAAATACCTAGAAAATTCATTACTGGAGAAAAAAGCCAAGCTAGGTTAATAGGTAATTAATTGATAGCTTATTGATAGCCACAGCTATCACCCAAGTCTCTGAGCTGTCATCCTCGCTGGCATACTCCATGAAGTCAAAGGGGAGCTTGCTCCTGATCCACATACAAAGGCATTTCACTTAGACGGCATTATTCCCACAAAGGGAATGAAGTGGACACAGCAAAGTTACATTGGAGGCTTTACACTGTCAGCTGATTTTTTTGTATTGAGAATGAGTGAGCCCACAGTGACACACCAGGTGTGCTACTTTTGCTTTTTTAATTAAGCCAATGGTTCTTTTTATCAATATAAAATTTTAAAAGGTATTTGAAAGAAATGATCCAATAGGAACATTTAAAGATGTGTCCATTTTTCTACTTCTCTAATTACACTGCAGCACACATATGCAAAAAGTGATATTCATGCATTGTGATATGAGAATATATCAAACACATACAGGCAGAAGAATTAAGGTATGTTAGAAGAATTAAAGAAGCATGATTTATACTTCAATAAGACTGTTCTTACAACACAAATAAATAAAGCCAAATGCCCTTTATATTTCAGAAAACTTTCCTGATGTCAAAAAATAACAGAAAATGAATTTTTATAGTTTTCAGAGTGTCTTTAATCGTACATTGGAGTACAGTATTTACTTTGTAAGTAATTTTAAAATAAAAGGTATGATAAAGGAAATGCAAAAAATATCCTGAATCATTTTTGATAAGATTTATTCACCTCATTATTTCAATTTTTTCGCTCATTTTTTTAAATAAATGAAAATATGCAAAACACGTATTTATAAAATAGTCTCTAGCAAAGTCTTCCCCTTTTTTAGAATAGGGTATTAAAATTCCACTTTGACTAACATAAATCTTCAGTGAAAGCCTGAGAAATTTTGAGAGGTAATTAAATTTGGGAGAAAGAAGGGACCAGAACAGGGAAGCAGAGTTCCATTGCATGTCCAGTTCACTTTTGTGTCTGACTCAGACCACAATGGAATCAGTGAAGCATTGACTTCAATCATTCTTAAAACTCCAAACTAACCCTAAATCTCATTAATTTTCAACATAGAAGAATTGGAATAAATGTACATAGAGTTAACTCAATCCAAATTGCCTAATGTTAGAGCATCATTGGAGTGTAGTTGCTTTAAATGCTTGCTGGCTAAAAAGGCAGAATTGGCTACTCTACTAATGCTTATTAAAAGTTTATATATTTTTAGTATTTCAGAGTAATGCTTTGATAAAGAATGACTCTGAATATGAGAAAATAAAGACTTTTCGCTCCTATTTCTCTGTTTTGCAAAATGGGGGATACATATCAAAATTTAGCTTCCATGAGAAATTTTACTTTGAGTTGGTTAAATTTTTCCAAATATATAAGTAAAAACTGTTGAACACATCTCAGGTGTTATTTTCATTAAAATCATAATTTCATTTCCTACCATAACAAAGCAAGATGTGATATTGTGATTATTTATTGCTATTAGGATAAAAATTATGTGGCAAAAGGAGGGTGAAAAAGAAGAGATATGTTGCTAAAATAAGTGTATGTTTTCCAAAACAAAAAAATTATGTTTAAGAATCTGCTAGGTTTTGGATGCCTGGTTTAATTATTCATATCTACCTGTCATGGCTATAAAGAAACTTATGCTTGTTATTTGTAGCTCTTCTCAGAATACTGCATTTTACATAAGAGCTAACTGTTGGGGGACATGACTTCAGGACCCCTTTATTAATGTCAGGTATAATAGTAAGTAAAAAAAAAAATGCTTAAACCTAGAGCAAGTAGTCATCTCTTTTATGTACCTCCAAGATACATTTAGAGAAAACCCTGAAGACAAGATGGCAAACAGTGAAAGCCAGTTCACAGAGACATTGTCCAACACACATTGTGTTGGACAGACTTACCCGAGAAGAAATGTGCCTTGAAGCCCTTCTTGGATACAGTGTTGTCAGATTTGAATTCAATCCTCATGTTGTTGAACTGAGAGGTAATCACATCCGGGACCTCTGCACCACAGAACTTGCCATGCAATTTAGACTCAGAAGCAAGTCCACTCCAGATCTCCACAAAATCATATTTGCAAACCTAGATTGAAGAGTACCAGAGGACTGACAGGTATTTGTGAAATACATGCCATATTTTACCTTCTTTTACCTTCATGGTAGTCAGACTGGAATTAACAGGTAAAGAAAAAAAAATAGAAAGAAGGGTTTGATGATGAGCCCCAAAGCATGCAAGCTCTAGTAGAGGAGAAATTTATTGTTGCTATCTTCTGAACTTGCCATGGATATCTTAACACTGACAGTCATGCCATGACACTGGTCTATGAGTGTACAAAACAAGCACGAGTAATAGAAGTAACACTTCTATTAAACTAAAGTTCCATTTTTTAAATACTTTATTCAAATTTACACTTCTCACAGTAGCACTATGGTGACTGGCAGTGTAGAGTTTGGGTTCATCCAGCGTTAGGTCCCATAAACACAGTGCTCTGATCAGAATCTCACCATGAGGAACTTCCAAAGTTTTGTAGCTTTTTTTTTTCCCCAGGGCTGAGAACCGAACCCAGGGCCTTGCGCGCGCCGGGCGGGCGCCCTTCCATTGGGCTAAACCCCCAACCCCAGGAACTTCCAAAGTTTTGGAAAGAGAAAGAATGGAGAGACACAGGAGGTAAGTCTGATCTAGGCATAGTTATGCATAGATGAATATGTCAGATGAAACTCCCTTGTACAACTAATTGACTTTAATTAAAATGTGGAAAACAATAAAAAAAAATAAAGGCATACACTTGGTATTTAATTTTAAAAGATCTTTTGTCTTTCAAAATGTTAAAAAAAAAAAAAACGTGATATTTCTTCCTTTCTGGTGCTAGGTCCTGAGAACATAATTTAGAGGACTCGAGGTTGCAAATAAATACAAATTCTATTCCAGGAAATAAAGGCAGGAATTGATAACAAAATGAAGTATAGTTATCTGATTTCTCTGTAACACACTCATATGACAAGTACTCTTCAGCAATTCTATGAAACTAATGCATGTTTCTGCAACACACTTCTCTAAACTTCTAATAGAGTACTTTAAAAATCACCTTGCATGAATGACCTTATTACATAAATGTGTAATTAGCAATATTTAAGAATACATATGACTTTACAACTGACTTTCCTTTAGCATTGTCATCCTGAGGAAAAATGTGAAGTTTTCATTTTAATCTAGTATTAGATAAATCTGGTTGTGTCCCATAGGTAAATTATCCAACTGTACTGGCTTTCTATGCAGAAATCAAAATTTTAATTCATGTTAACAACGTTTGCAAAAGGGCCCTTGTAGCTCTCATGATCACTATTTTAAGAGTAATGCTTCTAGAACACAAAGCTCCATCCACCTTCTTTCCTCCTGAATGCAAACTTTTCCTCCTCATCCTATATTATGTATTATATCAACTCATGAGTAAATTCCTACTCCTGTGGTTTGCTGAAGCAAACCACAAGTAGAACAAAGAAAGATGTCTACACTAATGCTTGGCATTCTCCCTTCTCCCTTTCTTCCTTCTTCCCTCCCTCCCTCCACCTCCTCTCTCCTTCTTTCCCTTTTCCTTTCTTTTCTCTTTCAAGTTCGCCATTTTGCCTTTAGAGAGTCCCAAAACCTGACCAAAAAACCTATCTGTTGTTCACTTACTTCATTGCCTTCCAATTCAAAAAACTCGAACTTCACAGAAATCCTGTATTGGATTGGTGCAACCACCTGCCACACACAGTTTTTATTTGGAGGGTACTCTTTAGGCCACCCAGGTGTGGTGATCGTGCCATTGAGTTTGGTCAGGAGTCCTCCACAAGCGGCTAGAAGGAAAGAGGAGAGAAAGGTGCTTTTGACAAATTCCTTTCTGTGAACCTGCTATTGACAGCCACACATCTCACACTAAATTTCAACTGAACATGGCCCTCCAGATTCTTTAGTTTTAACAGCTATTTTAATTCATCATATCCCACTTGGAACATATAGCTTTGGAACAAATAACCATATGACTGAGCAACACTTTCAATCCCATTAAAATTTGGCACTCTGTCTCACTTCCTTATCTTTTAATTGAGTATAAAATATTTTATAATACCTTGGCTACTGCAAAATACAGAGAAAACATAATTTTTATGAAAACTGATAAAGCAGCTGCAATAATTAAAGAATATATAGAGAAAGAGACTGGCAAGAGAGGGAGAAGGAGACAGAGAGACAGGGAAACAGATATCTGTACATGCATACATACTACATCTATACACAGACATGCACCATAGCATAATCTTATATGGAACGATCAAAATCACTTACTTATTCCAAAATCACAAATAGCATCAAGTTGTCTGAACTACCAGGCAAGATAAATTATGGTAAAATGAACAAATTTAACACAAAACACTTTATTTAACAACTAGTTTTTTTTTTTGTTTTTGTTTTTTTCCCTGTGTACTGGTGTGGGCTTGAACTCTGGGCCTGGGCGCTGTCCCTCAGCTCTTCAGCTCATGGAGAGCTGAGCTCTACCACTTGAGCCACAGCACCACTTCTGGTTTTCTTAGCAGTTTATTGGAGATAAGAGTCCCACAGACTTTCCTGCCTGGGCTGGCTTTGAACTGCGATCCTCAGATCTCAGCCACCTGAGTAGCTAGGATTGCAGGCATGAGCCACCAGCGCCCAGCTTGTCCTGTGTATTTTTAAAAACTACTTTTTACTTTCCTTTTCTACATTATTTGTAATAGAAAAATTGACAGTATCCCAAAGTAAATCAGGTGGCTAGAACACATATTGTATGCCAATTCATAATTAATTCCTATGGAGTCCAATACCATCTTAAATAATTAGTCTCTACACATTTATAAGATTATTTCTTTGTTGCTTTGTATGACCCTCCCCCACAGTATAACCCCTGCTTTCACTGTATTTGATGTCAGTATAATTTGTGGAGGGGAAGGGAAAAACAAATCATTTAAATAGGGATACAAGTGGACCCATTGCAACAATGAGATGTACAAGTCGTTATGTCGAAAACGAACTTTACAACTTTGGTGTGTGGGGAGGGGGGATTGGATGGGGGGGTGGGGGCAGGATGGAAAGGGATGGGAAGGGGAAACGAAGGAGGAGGCTACAATGCTTGATAAGAAATATACTTATTATCTTGTCCATGTAATTGTAACCCCTCTGTACAGTATTTTCACAATAAAAAAATTAGTCTCTGTCTTTGTGTATAGACAGATGATAGATGGATATATATCCATACATACATATGTGTATATATCTGTTCCTTATAAATGTACAAAGAAAACAAATTGCATATTCACTTTTACCATTTTTGATGAATAAGTGACTTAAAGTAAAATATTTATTTCGAGAGGGCCACACTAAGTTAGTCATTTGGGGCCAGGGATATTGCTTGCCTAGTATATACGAGGTCATGGGTTCAATTTTACCACTGTGAAATAATTCTAACAATCGCAACAATTATATAATGTTTCATTATAATTTTCTTTAAATCAGTGCCCTCTTTTCAGACATACTTTATTTCCTCCATAAATATGCCCACTCTACAGGTAAGATTAGTAGTATAATACATGAGATGGACACTTATGAAAGCCTGACAAGAGTTTGTTCAAACTTTTGGAAAGAAATAGCAAGAGTGTATTTTTTTAAGTCAAGAAAGAGGTGGCAGATGGCATTTGCCGGTTAAGCAAATCATTTTAATGCCTTTGCCACTGATGCACGGCCACAATAGATAACAAGATGCTCATTTTCAGAAGACTTACTAGCTAAGAAAACATGTTATAATGGAGCCAGAGAGGAAGAAGACAGACAGACAGACAGACAGAGACAGAGAGTAAGAGAGAATGAGAATGTAAAGGAGGAGGAGGGGTTTCTGGCAGGCGCGGGTCCTACCTTCGCAGCTCCTCCGGTCAGCTCCCAGCTCATAGCCAGGCTCACAGGCACACTGGTAACTGCCCAGTGTGTTCAGACAGCGCTGCTCACACCCTCCACGGTCAGGCTTGGCACATTCGTCTTCCTCTACCAAAGTGATGAATAAAAGTCGTTTATTTGGAAAGAGTTGTAAATTTAGAAAATAGAATACTTCATGGCTCTAAATAAAAGAGAGGGTATTCCTTTCTCATTTCCACAGCAAAGAAAGAGGAACAATGTGTCTGGATGGATGGATGGATGGATGGATGGATGGACGGATGGTGGATGTCATGTAAGAATTTAAGTTAGTGTAACCTAAGAATGCTGGAAAAAATCAAAAGAAAGACAAAATGGGGGAAAAACTTTCATCTGCTGATTACAAAATAGAGTTTCCTAGATACCTCTCAAAAATTGGTTTTAGAGGTTGGAGATACAGCTCAGGGGCAGAGCACATTCTTATTATGCATGAAACCTTGACTTCTCTCCCTAGAACTAAATGCACAGAGTGATTTTAAAGACATTTCATTATGAGAAGTAGATTTGATAAGACATTAACTGTAAAAATATTTAAAGCGCAAGCAACTGACTAGTTCTTTAAATTATAGTAATTGGTGCTTTACCTATAGACATTCAGTCCTGAATATGTAATAATTCAATATTTTATAAGTGTATATAAAGTTTAAATGAGTATGACTATATATTCATACATATACATATATATGTATTTGTATTGATACATATATGTATATGACAAAGTACTCCATAATTGCATTTTCAGAAAAAATATATTATAAATAGGCACTAGTAATATCTCCAAAGAAATAATACATCAGCAACACTACACATTTTTAAAACCAATTGTGTAAGTACCTACTGTGGAATAGAAGGCATGCAGAAAACTGTAAACATGTCAACATATATTTCAATGAGTTCATACAATTTCAACTTATATGAATCCATCAATTATATTCTCAGAGAAATTCATTATACAGTTGATGTGTTTGTGTATGTGTTTCTGTCTGTCTGTTTTTCTGTCTGCCTATCTATTTGTACTTGAACTCAAGGCTTCACACTTTCTCCTGGCATTTTTGTTCAAAGCTGGCACTTGAACCACACCTCTACTTTCAGCTTTGTGCTCCTTAACAGGAGATAAGAATCTCATGGACTTTTCTGCCTAGGCTTACTTTGAACCACCATCCTCCGATCTCAGCTTCCTGAGTAGCTAGGATTACAAGAATGAGTCTCCAGCTGCTGGCTTATACTAGTTGATTTTTTACAGTATGAAAATATTGAGATAGCTATCACTGGACTTGGACAGGCACAAATTAAATACAGCACATATTCTTGAAAGATCAGTAGAGAGAAAACGTTGCTTCACTCAGGAAAGTTTTATACGACAACCATACCCTTAATAGAAATGTCAGTTTCTTAAATATGAGCTGATGTCATTAGCTGCACTAAAATGTCCATCATTTAATTTTGGTAATACACACCAAACATGGGACATGAGAATAAGTTGAAATAATTCAAAACTAAAGCAATAATGCTGTGGGAATAAAGGATGTTTTAGGCATGGGGATATTCTGCTGAAGAGGCCATGTTATTTCCAGTGTAGGGGATGCTACTTCATGGGAGACGCATGGACAATGACAGCACCCGGAAGTAAACTGAGCAATTCTATGCCAGTGAATTCCCTTCTGTCTGTGAAGAGTGTGTTGTGTGTATGGAAAATAGTTTCTCCCTATTGGTAACTCCTTTGTTAGTTTTGACTATTTCATACCAAAACAAAAAAGATGATAGAGAACCTTGATTTCCTGCCCTGTGAGTTCAAATTCTAGTATTTTCTCCTAAGTTCTGCCATGAAAACATACATCCCTCCCCCCGCCCAAAGATCCCTGAACAGGGACTATTTCTACTTCCAATACATATTCAACTCTGTTTTCTCCTGATTTGAAGCTAAACAACACATTTAATCTTAACCAAGAAAAATCTCTCATTTGTGAACTCTTGGAGATTACCTTTAAAGAAGTTAGCTGCAAACCCTGCCTTGTTCACAGTTCCGTCAGAAACGAACTTCATCCACAAAGTGTTGGAGGTAGATCTTATATCTTCAGGCTTATCATAGCCACAGAAACGCCCTATCAGAGGGCTATTTTCACTGGTCCCATCTCGAACTTCCAGGTAGTCATACGCACAGTTGTCATGTCTTTCGATCTACAGCAGGACAGATGCAAGAACATCTCACTAATTAATGAAAATAATTTTTACAAGAAGATTCGTGTGTACTCTCATTGTCACAGTTGTGACTTGTTAATAAAAAAGTGACATAGCAAGTAAGTACACATGGGTGTTGCTCATGGGTGTACACATGGTGCACTCCTACTGCACGTGGAGGAAGGACTTTTTGATTATTAAAAGAATTTATATGTCAGGTATCACGGGCTCATACCTATAACTGTAACTACTTGGGAGAATAAAAATGAGAGGATTGCTGGATGCCAGTGGATCATGCCTGTGATCTTAACTACTCAGGAGGCTGAGATCTGAGGATCCCGGTGCAAAGCCAGCCTGGGCAGGAACATCCATGAGACTCTTATCTCCAATTAACCACCAGAAAATTAGTAGTGGTGCTGTGGCTCAAGTGGCAGACCACTCACCTTGAGCTGAGGAGCTCAGAGACAGAACCCAGGTCCAGAGCTCAAGCCCCATGACTAACAATAAATAGATAGGTAGAGAGAGAGAGATCCTAGAGAAATACCCAATGCTTCAAAGTAAAGTCAATGCTAACATAAAAGTGAGATGAGTTAATTCCCTCTATAGAGGGAATTAAATTTCTATTTTAAGATTATTGCTTTAAAAAGTTATTTTACTAAAAGGGAAGAAAATTAGATAGGCATTATTGGAAATGAAACCAAAACATTTACATTACTTCATGACTAAAATTTAAAAATTGATATTGCCTTGTTCATAACACACACTTTGTTCTTTTAATTGATATCAAATATATCAGTTTAATTTTCAGTTTGCAGTATTTTGACTGATTAATACTTAGTTGTTTCCCATTTATGGAGTACAAAGTATCTGCATAATATGTAAATGTCTGGGTGGTCATAGGAGAAATGTAAACTTTTTTCACAGGTTGCTGCAACTATTGTGGAATTCCTTAGAAAGTGAAATACATCTCATATAGACAGAGTATGACAATGCCAAAGGTATTATTTCTTTTTTTATTCTATTTTCTTGCAAAGATGCTGTACAGAGAGGCCACAGCTACATCAGTAAGGTAATGAGTACATTTCTTGTGGAGCATTGTTATCCCTTCCTTTGTTTTTCTCCCACTGGGAATGTGGCTTAGTGGCAAAGTGCTTGCCTAGCATACATGAGGCCTTGGGTTCGATTCCTCAGTACCACATGCACAGAAAAAGCCAGAAGTGGTGCTTTGGCTCAAGTCGTAGAGTGCTAGCCCTGAGCAAAAGAAGCTCAGGGACAGTGCCCAGGCCCTGAGTTCAAGCCCAGGACTGGCAAAAAAAAAAAAGAGTCCAAAGATATTATTTCTATACCAATCCTAGATATCTGAGCAATGTCCTGATGATGGTGTTTAGGCGCTTTTCCAGTTTAATCTGGGATAAAATAGCTTCACAATGAATCTGCTCCTCCACTGCTAATTACAGTTATATTTCATCAAGTACATATGCATGACCCAGAGAAATGATAGTGAGCCCAAAAGAAAGTGTGAGGTATTTTATTTTATATCATCTGTGCAGCATTTTCTCCAGGGACATCAGATTACCTCCTCAGCCAATATATACGATAGATAGAAATAAATATGGTTGAAGTTTTAACTTCCATTTTTTTTAAAAAAGCAAATCAAGTCCATTGATGGTAGGCCAATAATTTTAAACTACATGAGAAAAGGAACGAGAAAGCCAATGGTCGATCAAAACAAAAGAAAGAAGAAAAAGAAAAGAAAAAAGCCGTTTCCTCGAGGTAAAACGTGGACACCGTTCAGAATTGGAAGGTGGATACAATGCCATGTCCAATGACACATATAATGAGTATGTTCTGATAATAACAATGCTGATTTATTACAGACCCTAAGGGAACCAGAGCATAAACCATAGATGAATGCGGTGAATTTATCATAATATAAACAAACCTCAGATGCACATACAGAACACAGTGAAAATGATAGCCAGCTCTGCAGAAAACTGGTATTAATGAAACTGGAAGTAGATAAAAGTACAAAGATAAGAGAGAAGCGAGGAGTGCTAAATAGCTGTTCATGGGAACCATGGAAGGGTGAGGGGCTCCTACTGAGAAGCAACTAAAGTAAATTTCCTTTGACCAAATGTAGCTGACTCACATTTGTAAAGTGTTCAGATCTTTGTAGTCAGGGCTGGCATGTGAGCTTTTCCAGTGAGGAGCAGTCTGTCATCAAATAGGAGCAAACACGAACTCAAGACCTATCTACGTACTTTACATTCATCTATTATCTATCTTCCCATGCCTGTACACATTTTGCTTATACACATATATGTAATATATAACATACATATACAATGCATACAGCAGTTTGAATTATATACATATATATTATGATCTATAAGACATCTATATATAAATGAAGATATATAGTATATCTATGTTGAAACCATGATTCACAATAGCCAAAAAACAGAAACAATCTTAGGTCCTTACTAGTAGATGGATAAATGAAACATGATACACATACAATGAAATGATACTTATTTTGAAATGTGATAACCTAGAGATAAACCTTGAGAAAGTCAGCTAACTGAAATACTATAGCAATGAAATATAAATGTTACATGTCTACACTTACATTACATACAGAGACTAGTCAAATTTCTAGAGAGAGAAAAAATGGTTGTTACCAGACCCTGGGGAGAAAAATTCAACAGAGGAAGGAATGGGAAGTTGTTGAGTGTAATTAGAATTTCAGCTTTATATGCTGAAAAACATTCTAGGGATTGTTCGCACAACAGTGTGGCATGTACTTAATGCAAAAAAATGATTACAACAGTAAAATTTATGTGTATTTTGCTACATTAAAATATTTCTCTGAAAACTATTACAATCTACCTTTAAAATACAATCAACTCAAACTAATAAGAGAATCAAATGAAGGCAATGCAATAAAATTGACACAACTTGCAAATGATGTGTATTTGGAAAAATATTAAAGCTATTTCTTGCTTTTAAGAAATTAAAAAACAAAACTAAGACTAGCTGGGAATCAATCAGTGGTTCACAGCTGTCATCCTCGCTATTCAGGAGATTGAGATCTGAGGATTGAGGTTTAAAGCCAGCTAGGACAGAAAAGTCTGCTAGACTCTACTCCAAATAGCCAGAAAAATTCCAGAGTAGACATGTGGCTCAAGTGGTAGAATGCCAGCTGCAAGCAAGAAAGCCTACTGAATGCAAAAGCTTGAGTTCAGCCATCATACACACACACACACACACACACACACACACACACACACACACACACACAATTTGTGAATGAAAACAATGAAATAAACATGTCTTATTAAACACTAACTTATTTTAATAATGACAAAAATCTAAGGAAGTCTGAGAAATAATATCAAGCAATGGAAAGAGGTGACACTGTTCAAAAAGAAACATACTCTGGAGCTGGGAAGGTGGTTCAGTGGTAAGAGTGCTTGCCTCACATGCATGAGGCCCTGGGTTCAATTCCTCAGCACCACATAAGCAGAAAAAGCCGGAAGTGGCGCTTTGGCTCTTGTGGTAGAACATTAGCCTTAAGCTGAAGAGCTCAGGGACAGCGCCCAGGCCCAGAGTTCAGGCCCCACAACTGACAAAAAAAAGAAAAAGAAAAAGAAACATACTCATTATCTGACTTACAAAGCTGTTACAACTTAAAGAGGAAGAAATACATATTTAAACATGTTAAAAAGCAACAGCAACTGAGTGCTGGTGACTCGTGCCTACAATTCTTACTCAGGAAGCTGAAATCTGAGGATCACAGTTAAAAGCCAGCCTGGGCAGGAAAGTCTGTGAGACTCTTACCTCCAATTAACCACCACCACCAACAACAACAAGATAAGATGGAAGTAGAGTTGTGTCTCACGTAGTAAAGTGCTAGCCTTAAGCAAAAAAACTCAGAGATAGTACCCAGACCCCTCAGTTCAAGCCCCAGAACTGGCACATGCACACACACACACACACACACACACACACACACACACACACAGAGCGCTCGCAACATCATAGCTGTGATTCTAGTCATTTCTATAATTCTAGCTACTTAGGTGAAGGGGATTGGGCAGATCATAGTTGAAAGCCAACCAAAGGCATATTGGGAAAGGGAGGTGTAAGACCCCTCTCAACAGAAAAAGCTGGATATGATGACAGATATAAAACCTGGTGATATAGCTACAAGGAAACACAGAAATAGGAGGATCATAGTGCAGAGCTGCCTGAGCAAAAGTGAGAGCCTACCTTGAAAATAACCAAATCAAAAGGAATGGAGGTATGGCCTTCTTAGCAAATGTGAACATCAGAGCTCAAATCCCAATACTTAAATGTTACCAGTTCATTTTCTTTTCCTTCATGTCCACAAGAATTATTTACTTGCTTTTAAGTTTAAGGACTTTATTGACAGCAGCTAGGGTTAGATAAATATGTCCAGGACAGTATAGAAAAGCAGTGAATAAAAGAAGAGCTATTTCTCCTTCTCTTCTGCCATTATTGACCAACATGTATTCCTAACTGAACACTGACATGTGAACTAATTAAGACTTCCTTATCTTGGCTTCTGAGTTCATTCCCAAAGACTATCTAGTTATTGTAAACTAATAAAAATATTTAAAGACATTAAAGGGTTGCTTGAAGTCAGGGAATTCACCAAGTGACAAGATAAAGATGTGTGCACTGTTTAAAACTTCCAGCCCTGTGTAGGCTAGTAAACATGTCTGGCTTTCATAAGGGAAGAAACTTCCAGTCAGAATGTGTAGCAATGCTGACACGTACCTCAAACATAATCCGACTTGAATTAATGTGCGTGACGATTTCAATTTAAACAAAAGTAAGCTCTAGATTTATTTCACTTCTTGTTCAAATTTTCACTTTATTGACATTTCTTTGAAGTTGTTCCTATAAACATTTCCAGCACCCCCAAACTTTTTCTCTTCTGTATTGATGCTTACTAAAATTGTCAAATAAAATAGTACTAGAGGCTTCTTTAGAGTTAGCATTTCTGTTGAACATTGAATTTCAGAGATGATCTATGTGCTTTTACAAACTTACTTCAGTATCTCAGTGTTTAAAAAATGCACCAGTAGGAAAATATCTCTCCCTTAGTCCATTCAGGATGTCAAGAAGAGATCACCATAGACTAGGTAATTCCTAGTCATCAGAAATTTATTTCTGCCAGCTCAGGAGGCTGAGAAGTACAAAGTTAAGGTGCTGTCAGATTTCATATCTGGAGAGAACCCTGTTTGTGGGTAGTACCTTCTCTCTGTTCCTCCCAAGACAGAAGCTCCTTAAATCTCTTTCACAAGAACACTATTCCCACTCATGAGGGCTGTATCCTCATGAGTTAATCACTTCCTAATTGCCCCATATACAAAGGTCCACTCGAGAGCTTATTATGTGAATTCTGAGGACAGATAAACATTCAGACCACAGCACTTCAAAAACAGTGTAGATGAAGTAGATTCCAGGAACTCATTCCCAAAGGTGCCTCCTGCAACTTCCTTCTGTACTGACATCAAAAAATGAAGTGGCCCTTGGAAAGCTTAAACTGTGGCCCAAAGTCACAGGGAGGTATAGATGGTGGCCAGCTAGTAAGTTCTGTCTCCAACAGAATGGTGAACAAGTTCAACTTAGTGGCCCTTCTACATAAAAGAAAATAGAGCTGGACTCTGGTGGCTCAGTTCTCCCATAATCCTGGGCAAGAAAGTCCATAAAACTCTTACCTCCAACAAATCAAATGTGAACCGGTGGCTCAAGTTGTAGATTTTCAGCCTGAGCAGAAAAGCTTAAGGTTAGCATTCAGGCCCTGAGTTCAAACATCAATGAGATAAAATAAAATAAAAGAGACCATAAAGGAGCAAAGAGGCATCCTTTGAAAAAACTGAACTGAGAGAATAAAAACAATGATTTTATTCAGGAAAAAATATATACAGAACTTGTGAGCTCATTGTCTATATAAAAGATATAATCTTTGTGTCAAAAACACAGTATGAGCCAGGTGTCAGTGGCTCATGCATGTAATCCTAGCTACTCAGGAGGCTGAGATCTGAGGATCATGGTTCAAAGCCAGCCTGGGCAGGAAAGTCAATGAGACTCTTATCGCCAATAAACTACCAGAAAACCAGAAGTGGCGCTATGGCTCAAGTGGTAAAACACTGGCCTTGAGCTAAAGAGCTGAAGGACAGGGCCCAAACCCAGAGTTCAAACCCCAAGACCGACAAAAAAAAAGTATGTAAATAAAAATAAGTGGATACAGCTCAATAACTTACTAAACAAGCTAACACTATTAACTTTTGATATTCAAAGTACCTATTTATTTATGCTCCATAAAGCTGCTGAGAACACTGAATTAGCAAATACTGATTCATTGCTCCTAGGCAAATACAGTGTTAGGTTCCTGTGAAATGCTAGTCACAATTTCTTTTTAACAACCCATCAAAACCCTGTTTTATGTGTGTTTCTATTTAAAGATACCTTAATATGAAATATTGATTCATTAAAACTGAACTCACAGCCAAGAACACTATGACTCATGCCTGAGTGATTTTATCTTGCACATATTTTCTACAGGACACCGTCACAGCTTGGTGTGAGAGTTTGTGCATGTTTTGGTGCTGTGTACTTATCTATAAATGATTCTCAGAGTGTTATGAATGGTGATTTGTCTTGATCATACAATTTTACCAAGGAAGTAAGTTTTCAAATAAAATCAACTAGGATTTTAAAATAAGCACTTTAATGTTGGTGTAATACCAGGCTAATAGCATAATTTTAATTGTCTTATCTTGAAGATTTAGATGGCATACACATGACATTTCAACTACAGTCACTTGTGAATTCCTTGGAATCCAGGATGTCTAGTCTACATTCAGTCATAGTAGTCTCTCCATTATCTAAATCTAACTTATTCATGTTGTTATCCTCTGCATGGAACCTTCCATGCCTTTGATAAGGAAAGGATGCATTAATGTTCAACCATCAAGTTCATGCATTCTCATATACATACATCCGTCTGTTTATCCATCCTTTCCATCATCAAATATTAACCATAGAACTACTGGTGCTAGGGACAGTGATTAGCCATTGGTGCTGGAGATAGTGGTGAGCACCACAGATAATGGCTCCTACCCATGCTATCTTACCCATCTAATGGTCTACCTTACCTGTATAATCACCTACCTTGGGATGATTGTATTTTAGTGAGAGAGATAGGCATGTGAGGACACAAATAATTAAGCCATAGCATACATTCCACTCATCACAGATGCACTAAACTAAACTAAAACAGAACAATGGTTTAGACTGAACTGGAGGTAAGAAAAGTATTTCCAAAGATCCTGAGGGAGAGGATCTTGAGTGACAAATGTGATGTGGGGAGGACCTTGGTGCTTTTGAGGATGAGCTAGAAGAGCATGGAGGTGATGAGAGAAAAGAAGCAGTAGCAAGGAACCTAGGCCAAATCATGAATTGAGTCTGGATCTTATGTTCGATCCAACAGTGACAGTCTGGGAAGAATGTCACATTGTGAAAGCTTCACGCTGGATTCTGTGTGGACAATAAAACAGAGAGGACCAGGCTTGAGAGCCAAGCTTCCCAAAATGATTTCCAAGCAGAGGTGAAGGGGGACCAGCAGGGTGCTAGAAAATTGGCATAATGTCCTCATCACTTGAAGTCCAAGGGGATACAACATGTTAATAGTGTGACTTTGAACTTTATGAGGGAAAAAATAACAGAATTAAGACTGTTCCTGAAGAAAGCAAGACCATCGAGGGGCTGAGTTTGGGCATATAAAAATAACAAGCCTCTATGGACACCTGTGGCTCACACCTGTAATCCTAGCTACTCAAGAAGCAGAAATCTGAGAATCACAGTTCAAAGCCAGCCCAGGCAGGAAAGTCTTATCTCCAATGAACCACCAGAAAATGGAAGTGGTGCTGTGGCTCAAAGTGGTAGAGCGCTAGCCTTGAGCAAAATAGCTCAGGGACTGTACTCAGGCCCTGAGTTCAAGCCCAAGGTCCATCAAAAACATTTAAAAAGAAGCTTATTAGACAGGACCATATGTCAAATACACAAATGGTTGAGGTAGAAACATGACAGACATAATACCTAAAGAAGGAGGGACAAGAATGTAGACATGATAAATAAAAGGTTCCATTGGCCAACTAGGGCTGTGACTTTTCCTCAATCCGAAAGCACTGTGATCATTCATTCATTCATTCATTCATTCAACAAGCTCAGTGCCTGAAATGAAAAGGCTTTCCATGTGTTCTCCTAGTTTTGGAAAATATCAGAGAATATCACTATTACTTTACTGATAAACCAAAAATTAAGTAAAACTTCAAAACAGCTTCAAAGTCAATAGTTTCATTTTTCTCAGTTTTTAGGTCCTGGTATGTAAAATAAGCCTTTTCTGACACCATTCCTGTGTTAGAAACTTCCATAATACAGGGAGTTATTTATTGAATGAGTTATGTTTCATAATTCTTGAAATATTACAAAACACAGGCAATATGATCACTGAGTAGATATTTTTTCAATAAACTAGTTTGAGTCTAAATTTCAGATGAAATCCTTCTTGCCAATTTTAGGTCACTGCTAACAGTAAACTGGGCTGTGTGAACCATGTTTATGCTCCTATTACTCCATTCCAAGACAAGAATTCAAATGTGAACCAAATAATGTCAAAACCAAAAATTCCAAAACTGCAAAGTAGTCACAAGCATGAAATACAACCTCATGATCAAAGCAGAAAGCATTTCCTTTTCATGATTAAAGGAAATGTATCTAGGAAAGTAAACAGCATGTGTAAGGGGATAGACCCAAGTACCAAAGAAAAGAAAAAAAATAACGAGCCACTGGCTCACAGGTAGGATATAGGATATTCTAGCTTGATAGGTTGCAGCAAGAGTTCCTTGCTGTCCAAGACAGGGCCTTAGTTTACTACACCACGTTCACTCTTGGAGTGGCTAGATGGTGCCCTCTTACTTCCTGTGGGTTCTAGGACAATGAATTGAATTCTAATCCATACAGGAATACTCTCCAGCCATGAACTATGTATTTCTGACTTCTTTCCTGGACCTGCTTTTTCCCACCTCAGTTTGAGTTCTCAGTATCTAGTCTGTTGCTTTGACTTAAACACTGAGTTCCTGAAAACTTCCCTCACTGCTTGGCTTCTAATCCCTTCCTGGATCCTTTTTGTTCCACAAAAATAAAAATGATACATTAGGCAGCCTTAGTAGTTTTGGAATCAGACTTTGATCCAGAAGTCTTACTGATTTTTAGTTCATTTTAGCACTTCCTTTAATAAACACAACCATGTACAGATCTCCTGATACCTATTTTTAATAAAATTGAAAATGTTTAGGAGTGCTTACATTTGATTTTTTTTAATTGCCTAGGTAACCGGATAAAAGCAAGAAAAGAGAAAGGGGTTCCCAGTAGCAAAAAGAGACTATCTACTTTTTAACCTCTTCGAAGAGAAATGAAAGTGCTGTTACTTACTAGTTGGTGGGGAGAAAAAAAAGGCCTATGTATTTGTTACATATATTAACGAAACAACAAAAAAACTATTGTCAGCACTTCAAACATTCTGATTCAAATAGCATAGTTAATGTAAACCCACTTTAATCTTCTCCAAATGTCTGCAACAAGAGGAAAGAAAAGAAACTTCTGCCCTTGATGTTGCATTTTATAGGCGATCATTTGCTTCTTCACTGATTAAAAGGCTGATTTCTCTGCTTTTTTGGCCCATTTAATGAGGAGCCTCTTAAATGCCACTGTCATTTATAGAGAATATGCTCCAAGAAGGTTGCCTGAAAGACTTTACCTCAAAGGCCTGGAAGTTCAGCCCGACATGGTAGCCCTCAGACACAGCTATTTTCCACACACATTCCTTCATTGGTCGGTAGTCATCGGGATAATTAGGAGACTGAATCTGTCCTTCATTTTTACGTATCTCACCTCCACAGATGGCTGAAGAACACAAACAAACAAAGCAATGAACTTAGGCATCCCATTTCATTTTCCATTTCTTTTGAGGTTAAGATTTAAGTTCAGTGCCTGGAACTCTGACTATAAACCAAGTGATATTACAAAAAAAAAAAAAAAAGAATCAAAGCTGGCTGTTGGTGCTATTGTAAAGATTTAGAGGGTAATAATAATAGTCACTTAACTATAAACATTAGATAATGATCATCCACGGAATATATAATCTTAACCACTGTGATATCACTTCTTCACAAAAGCAAGTTTTTTTAAAAAAAAAAACTTTTAAATGCTTTTAGAGATTTTATAAATCCACTTTCTGGGAGTTTGTTCTGTGAATCTCTGCCCAGCTTGATCTGGTCTTTTGACCACAGGTAAAAATCACTCATCAGCAGAGAAGTTTCACCCCAAACAGAACTCACTCACTGGACTTCTGGCAGTGAACTAGTTCCATGTGTTCAACAGCTGTAGCTCCATCCACATAACCCTCTTCCTGGTCATGCGGGAAATCTTTGGAACAAAATGCTTCCATTTACTTAAAAAGTTTAAAGGAAGCAGAACTCTTTTGTGTTAGAAATCATCTTAAGTCCCTGACTAAAAAGGAGCTCCTCTGTCCACAAGCTGTCCCCTCCCCCTCAAAAAAAAAAAAAGAACAGGAGCTATTACTAAATCCCGGAAGAACAATGCCAGTTGATTGTTTCGGAAAAGTCTAGAACCAAGAATGGAATAAATTCTCTTCTGAATGCTGCCTCTTCTATTTAGACAAAGCGTACTTCAGAGACGTGCACAATTACTTTCTGTGCCATTTGCTACAATAGATTATTTCAGCAGTCTGGGGACCAAATACATATAAAATCACTACAAAGGAAAACCATTTATTTCTTCACCATATTGTGGTCATATCATGAAACCAATAATTAAGCTTTAAGAACTCTTTCACCATTTGTTCCTCCCATTAATTCTTGAGTACCTTTCATTGTTCATCTATCACTGACACCAGAAAATACGCTGTTTGTGAAATTTCCATGTAGGAAGTATTTTCATTAAAAAAAATCATCCTTTGAATATCAAAATGCAAATTCTTAATTGTAACTATGGTTACAACATCCTTTTTTTAATATTTAAGAAGTTGTGAAAACAAAAACAAACCAAAAAAGAATTGTCCAAAGAGGTTTTAATTTAACATGTAAGTCTGTAAAGACAATGACTGCATCATGATCCATGTTACCCTCCCCGCCTTTTGATTGTTCTTCTCCATCTCTCACAACCCCATTCATCCCCTCGGTTTATCTAGCTCCATTTTCAGGTATGTACGTTGAATATTATGACAGTGTTTGCCCAACTTCCTGCCTCCTCTTCCATTTCATCATTATGTTAGTAGAAGAGATAGGGCATTTCTGATAGGAGACCTAAGATAAAATGAGCTCTTCACTGTGGGTGACTTACCTTCATAGACAGCTGCAAACCCTTTCCCTACCCAGTTACTGCTGCTCCGAAACTCAACCCACATCCTGCTGTCTGTAGAAGTCAGAACTTCCGGCACTTTGTCCCCACAGAATCTACCTAAAAGACATACAAGAATAGACTCCTAAATGAAACTCTGTTCTCTACTCGCTCTCCACACCAGCCACAAATTATCCAATGGTTGTCTCCTATTTTGATTCCTTGACATTAGAGCCAACACTAATATCTGCCTTAATTTTTGCTTACTAAGGGAACGAAGTAGTTGCTTTATATCTACTTACAAAGCCCCAGGCAACCTATGTCAGTGCCATCCTACAAGGGGCTAGGTAAACTCACAAAGATACACATAAATGGTCACAGGTAGGGAACTACAGAAATCCAGAGGAATCAGAGAATGGCATGAGTCATCCCGGGGAACTAGTTCAAATCATCCATCTTGCTATTAGTGGGAGAGTGGAATGCATTCTCAGCCCAAGGAGGAGCTCTCTCTTTCTCTATCCAGGTCCAATGGTATAGCCACAGAACTAGATTTAGTATTACTGCCCATGCTTATTACTTCTACTAGGCCATCATCTGCAATGTTACAGTAGAGTCACAGATGGTACCACAAGTCTTGGGTCTGAATTTTTAGATTCTTTTCTAATTGTGAATTTATTGGTAAGAGTTAAGGAGAAGGTGAATATAATAATGCTGTTCCTCCCACATCCTTCTGCAAAGATGTGCTGATGCTTTTCTTCATCTGAATTCTGATTTTTCACATGATAACTGGTGAAGTATGACCAAGTACATGAAATGATTCTGAACATATTACATTATTATTAAAACTATCTTTATTACTATATTAGTAAAACTATCTCTAGCATACGAATGTGGCTACTAGGCAGCTGACTTTGAAAAGACAATAAACACACAATTTTTCTGGCTTCATAAAAATAAAAACTATAACTGCAAATTGAACATGATGACAACATTGCAGAAAGTTACCTTGCTGAGCCTAGCACTGAAGAAGACTATGCTCAATCTTCACATTCGGACTGGATTATCAACCTCCTATTTCAACCACTTCAAATCAACTACCGTGCCATTTGTATATTTCACCTGAATATTTTCATATGGTTGAACTGTTGACCACACATATTTTAATTGTGAGATGAGTCTTTAAAGAGCTGGCCAGAATACATGCGTAACTGAACAGTACCTGCTTACCCAGGAGAGGTGATTTCCTCCAGTATCCATCCCTCACTTCAATGTAGTCATACCAGCACAAACTGCTCTTGTATAGGTCCATTGTGGTAAAATTTAAAACAATCTGCAACATGATAGACCAACACAGAGAGCAAAAGTAAGCGTTAAAGAATATATAGAGATTGCATTCCTAGAGGTAAGGCCACCTAAATGGAGGTGAAAATGGATGTGCAGCTAATTCTTTTTCTATATTCATACTATGCTAATGTTCTTCTTAAATACCTTGATAACACTTTTTCACATTCTCGTTCAGATTTACTAAGAGCAACAGAAACATCATCATGTTAATGGCGGTAATAAATGAAATTGTTTAGCCATGAGCCCAGCGTTTCTGTGAAATTAATGTGGCCCAATTGTGGAACAAACAGAGACTTTTATTCAAATAGTTTATTTTGAATCATCCTAAGATATACCTAATTTAGATCAGGAAGAAATTCAAGTTTCCCACGAGTGCCTTCTTCGTTAATAATTTATTTCAAAGGCAACTAGTCAGACATCTGTAATTATGTTAAAAATCACCACCATGTGCCATATTCCCAGAACATAATATCATTGTGTGTGTTGAAATGTTTAAATGTAGCCTCAGCAATCGAATTTGTTCTTCTGACTATAATTAAAGTCACATGTTACTATTCTTCTCTAGATCCAAAGATATATATTCAAAGACCTTTCAAGTTAGAAGACCTTGAACACGACCCTTTATTCTTTCCTTTTTTTTGGAATGATGGGGTCTATTTTGTAAAGATAATTTAAGAGCCATTCTAGGAAAGATAACTTTCTTGTTGCTTTACAAAAGACTTCACTTTTTGAATCATTAACTCTTTTATTACTCCCCCCAAATAAAACAACTGATCATGAGAAATAGCAGTTTATGAAGTAAAATTCATTTGGATACCCTAGTGTATATTCTCATTTTAAATCTCATGCTAACTACTCTGCTTAAAATATCTAAGTTGCTTGAAGATGGAAGTAACCTGTCTTTATCTACTAAAATCAAAATAAATTGTGATTATTTATTTATTTATTTATTTATACTGCCAGGCTTTGGTGGATGACTATAATCCTAGCTGTTCAGGAGGTTGAGTCTAAGGATCGTGGTTCAAAGCTAGCCCAGGCAGGAAAGTCTGTGAGACTTTTATCTGCAAGTATCCACCAGAAAACTAGAAGTAGAGCTGTGGTGTAAATTATTAAGAGTGCTAACCTTCAGTGAAAAAAGCTCAGGGACAGTGCTCAGGCTCTGAGTTCAAGTCCCATGAGCAACAAAATAAATAAATAAAATGAAATAAAATGTTTTACCATAAAACGATAGCAGTTTAACAATATTTAAAGGATGAAAGAACCAACTTATGATAGAAAGGCTGAATATAAGAACTTTAAAGTAATAACAAACAGGAAGAGAAAAATATAATCAGTAATCCTAAATCCATATTCCAGAAAGTCTTTCCAGTTCTGGGCTGAAAAAGAAAAGTAGTTGTGTTCCCCTTTTTCAAAACTTGCAGTTTGGCTTAGGCAGCTCTTGCTGGTAATTCTAGCTACTCAAAAGGCTGAGATCTGAGGATCAAGATTAAAGGCCAGAAATGCACACAAATCACAAGATTCTTATCTCCAATCAGCCAGCAGAAAGCTCGAAGTGAAGGTGTAGTTCAAATGTGAGACTGCTAGCCTTGAATGAAAAAAATCAAACAAAAGCACAAGGCCCTAAGTTCAAGTCCCAGTAGATGCACACATCCTAAAAAATTTTGATTAAAAAAATAAATTTGCTTAGTCCTTTCCAGCTTGAAGACATAATATCATTATGGAGATTTCTCATGGAGACTTATGGCTAGGTACCACCCTAATAAAGGATAAAATTGCACATGGTAGATTTCAAGTAACCACACAGCTTAATGTGTCCTTTTTTATTATTAAGAGATAAAAATTAAGGATGATTTTTAAAATAGGCTATTTAAAATTTATAATCCAGCATGTTATAAAACCTATTTCATCTTCCTCATTTGGACTTGTGTTTTCATTCACTCAATTTTATTATTCCAAATAAGAAAACTATTCAAAAATGTTCCCAAATATCTGAGGGCAAAGTCCTAATCACTCCTGTCTTTCCAATATTTCTCAACACTTATGAAAATATTTTATTTGGTTAATTATTTCTACCAATGACCTAAAACATTTTCTCCTCCAGGACCACATTAGTTATTCTTAGACTATAGTTTAGAAAGCATTATTTTTTTGTTTTTTAACTTAACTTCAACCCTGGTAGAAAGGGAGTACACTGACAGTAAGTTTCATTCCTCATTTCTATTCTCTCCATAACAACTGCCCAAGTGTTAGCTCCATAGAATCATATAATAACTTATTTGTTGTAACTGTAAAGGCAAAGCTAGAATATAGAGGCAAAAAAAGACACCAGGTTATGTTTTGTGACTCAAAGGGTTATTTTATAATGTGAAAATAGTTTCAATTTCTTTCTGGATGAGAGGGGGAAAAATCAACTATGTTGGATGCATGTATATCATCAAATGTCACCTAATGTTGAAAACAATGTAGATAGATTGCTAACAAACAGTTAATATCTGAAGTCTTGGAATATGCACATACATACACACACATAATGGGATGGAAGAGGGGGATAATTCTGAGCAGAAAAGTTTCCTATCTTGTTTATAATCTTCCCATTTAAGCACCAAGCACCGTGGAGGAACAAAACCGGCCTGACACTAATATAAAACACAGAGATCCTTAAGTAGAAAATGTAATAAAGATAGGTTTTCTAAAATCAAATCTCAAGGCTCTTACTATAGAAATAAAAGTTCTGGCCTTTGACTAATGTTGCTAGCACAATCCTTACTTGAATTACAAATTAAAAGCACTTGGGAAATACTAGTTTTTTTGTGAAGATGCTATTTTATGGAAATACATTACATCTTTCAAAGAATGATAATATGGGCACTACATAATGCAATTATAATAAATGTTTTACTTCTGAAGGTAAATAGGAGTATCAATTTAAAATTAATCATAGCTCCCTCGGAGCACACGATAGGGCAGAGGGCAAGGAAGAGGAGTCTTAGCTGAACAAGGCGACACAATTGCAATTGGATTTGCTTATTAAGGGCTTTTTGTTTGACAATGCTGCAGAGTGAAGAATCTTGAAGAAAGGCAGATCACAGTTCAAGGGACTGTATGGCCGCAAGTCTCTAGAGAACGATATAATCGATGATCTTTTGTCAGCACAGTTAAGACATTATTGACTACCTAAACAAATTTCTCGACACCATATAAAGGTCAATTAGAAGACCATTTATGCCTTAGAGAATTGAGAACCAGGAAGATACAATCCTTACTAATTATACTGAGATTAGCAAATGACTTTAGAGAGAGATGACAATAAAATAAAAATCGGCATGATAAAATTGATTGTTCTAACCAGAAGTCTAAATAAATCTAATAAGCTCCCTCTATTGACTAGAATATTTTTCATAAAGATTCATACAGAATAAATCAGTAAATGAATAAGCCATTAGCAAATTCTACCTGCATCCTAGTTTTTTTGGGGGGGTCCAGTCGTGGGGCCTGAACTCTGGGCCTGGGCGCTGTCCCTCAGCTCTTCAGCTCAAGGCTAGCGCTCTACCACTTGAGCCACAGTGCCACTTCCGGCTTTTTTCTTTTTGCTTATGTGGTGCTGAGGAATCGAACCCAAGGCCTCAGGCATGCAAGGCAAGCGCTCTATCACTGGGCTATCTTCCCAGCACCATCCTATTTTTTTGTAAATAAAATTTTATTGTACACATTCTTTTACCGTATTATCTGTGTTGGCTTCTGGTACTGCACTGTTAGAAACAAGTTTTTGGGACACAGTCTTATAATACATACAGGGTAAACATTTATCACATACTTTTTCCATTAAAGTTTGCCAAGGGTTGGAGTAATGTATCATTAAGGCTTTATTTAGCTGTGAAATTGTATTACACTGAAAAGAAAAAATATTGTATTTTCCCTACAACTAGAAGCTGTTCTTGATAAGGAGTCAGAAGACCTGAGTTCTAGCTTACGTTCTAGCTCCTCAGTTTGTTATTTTACTGAAGTGTTATCAAGTTGATAAACTTTCTTCCCGCAAGTTGGCAGCCATTGGATCAGGCTAATCTCACCAGAATTAAATCACAGAGATTTAAGTAGATGATGGGTAGAAAAACACTCATACACACTATAAGAGTCCCAGGCATGAACAGCATTCTAGCAATTGTTTTATTCAGGCATCCTTCACAAAGTAAACTTTGAAAACATGTATGTGATTTAAAAAAATATCAATCTAATTTTCTAAAGCCAATTGCCCTGAGAAATGTAAAACACTGGTTTAATTTTAGTTCCATAAGAAAATCAACATGTTACAATAAAGGATTTGAAACCTCAAAGAATAGATGGGGAAACGGGACCTAGATTCAAGTTCCTGTCTTATCACTAGCTGGTCGAGTAGCCTCAGATACACTCTGAGGTCCACCAGAGATTAATCACCTGGCATGCAGCCAAAGAGTGGGACCATGCCACTATACAACCGTTCTGCTCAAATCTACCTATGTTGAAATTTTGCTTTGTCATTGCCAGCTATAAACCAGAACATTTTCTTACCATTTTCCACAGTCCCCACTCCTATACCATATCTTGTTAATTGCCAATTTCTATAGTGAATTGGAGCCATAACATGTCCTTAAAAACTTACCCTTCCTTGAAGATTTTACAAGATCAGTGTTATCCATAATTTTTCTCTGGATCATGAAATAGCATTGTATGATATGCCTTGGTTTTAAGTCTTACATTTCTCCTATATATCCTGAACTCGGTGGCCGTTTTAATCTTAGTAAAGCTTGGAGCCTATCAATGTAGAAACATGCAAAACCCACTTTTGCTGTACACGTATGCTACTTGTTCTGAGGGTATGGGTGGGGTTGGAAGAGAAAGAGGAAGAAGATGGAAGAGGTGACATCAATCAAGATGCGTTGTAGTAATAAACTGATATGCTGAATTGAAACTCTCTTGTACTACTACTTAAAAGGTAATTTTAAAAAGGAAGGAAGAAAGGAAGGAGGGAGGGAAGGAGGAAGCAAGGAAGGAAGGAAGGAAGGAAGGAAGGAAGGAAGGAAGGAAGGAAGAAAGAAGGAAGGAAGGAAGGAAGGAAGGGAGCGAGCGAACGAGGGAGGGAGGGAGGGAGGGAGGGAGGGGGGAAGATGAAGGGAGAGAGCAAAGAAAGAAGAGAAAGAAAAAAGAGGGAAAGAGAAAGGAAAGAAGGAAGGAAGGAAGGAAGGAAGGAAGGAAGGAAGGAAGGAAGGAAGGAAGGAAGGAAGGAAGGAAGGAAGGAAGGAAGGAAGGAAGGAAAGAAGGAAGGAAGGAAGGAAGATCAATGTATATTTCTCCCTGCCCTTACCTATACCTTGAAACTCTCACCACCTCCCAGGCAATGAAAAACGTTCTCATGCTCAGTCATGCTTAGATGTCTTAACAAGATCTGAAATGTCCTAAATAACCATGACAAGTTGCATCTTGCTTTCTTTTAGTTTTTCCAGAGTTTGGCAATTACACTCTGAGTTGTAAGCATGTGAGATTCTTGATAGCGGTGATTTATTTTCCGGATAAGAGACATATTTATTTCAGTTGACTCAAAACGTGATATAGCAATTGTTAATTTTTAAATAGTGCCTTTGGCAATATAAACACAATATAGTACACTGGCCCCACCCATGTGAAGCATGGGCGAATGATGAAAAACAAATGTTTGCAAAAATGACATCAGCAATCTGTTCTCATTCAAAGGAAATTATTTCTAAGGAACAGAAAACTCAGTAGTGTGTGTTTTTCTATGACCTCAATACAGCTACTTTCCTAGCTGAACATTCTTGACTGCTCCCAGGAAGAACTATGCAATGTGACAAGCAGATTCAACAGGGATCTTTCCTGACTGTCTAATGCTCAGTCCTAGGAAGACATATGTATGAACTGACAATAGTCTATTTAACTATGATTTTTCTTTTAAATGGACAAATCTACAGCATTAAGTTCATTCACACTGTTGAAACATTAACTTAATATCTTAAAACGTTTTTCTCCTGCACAAAATAATATATGCTAATACATAAAACAAAGAAGTAAAAAAGAAATAAGCTCATAAGCTTACCAAGAAGAAAAATACATTATTTTGGTAGACAACCTCCCAAGCTTTTAATTAAAAGCTGATGTATTTTATTTAAATATTTGATCATTTTATTCCAATGACTTTTAGCCCGCTTTTAATTTTCATAGCAGACTGTAGACATGTTCTCACATCAGGATTTTTCTCTTATTTTTCAAAAATTGTTTCCTTTTTATTGTTATAAAAACCTTCTTTGCTCATACAAGAAATTTCTGGCTGAAAATGCCATATTTTGAAAAATATGGCAAAGAATATTAAATACCCTACAGAAAGGCTCTTTGGACTTTAATGTCATATGTATTGCAACTTTGCCAGTTTGATAATGACACACATCACATCATTGTTGGTTCAAAGAGCAATTTCTTGTCAAAGAGTGAAAGTAAACAATTCCATTGAAATTATAAAATCAAATGAAAATCTATTTGTATTGACACTTACATAAACTTCCACCAAAAAATGAAAAACACACAATACACATTTTTTGGGGGGATCTGGTCATGGGGCCTGAACTCTGGGCCTGGGTGCTGTCCCTCAGCTATTCAGCTCAAGGCTAGTGCTCTACCACTTGAGCCACAGCACCACTGCTAGCTTTTTACTTTCTGCTTATGTGGTGCTGAGGAATCGAACCCAGGGCCTCATGCATGCAAAGCAAGCGCTGTACCACTGAACCACCTTCCCAGCCCCAACACATTTATTTATATGCACACATACATATGTATTTCAATATATGAATAAATGCATATGCATGCTTATAAAAGAAGCCTTTTGCCTCCTCTGGAGTAATTCTGACCTGTTTCTAGGCTAGTCCATTCTCTTTTGACATTATGGTGATTTGAATCACTAAGGCTTCATCATGTTTTTCTGGTGTCTTACAGTACAACCAGCCTTAATTCTTGAAGGTGCCTTCAAACTTTCTTTAATTATGATAGCATCACTAATTGCAGGCAAGAATTTATTGCTTTGCACATACCACAGCATTGAGAAATATAAGGAAAGGGGTGGGCTGAAAAGGAGGCGAAGATGTTGACCTGGTGACACAGATCAAGACATAACCTAAAACTAAAGTGAGTAAGGGAAGGGTTGGTTGGGTTGGGAGAGATGGGTGAGAATGTTGGGAAGGGTGATACTGATCACGATACCCTGTATTCATAAATCACTTTGGTGGATAGCAACCCTGTGGTATAACTATTTAAGGCAATAAAAAAGACTGCAAAAGAAAATATAATGGAGATGCCACTTGACACATGGTGAAGGTCTTCACTCACAAGAGATGAACATGGCACTCCTGCAGACATCACCTACCTTCTCTCCTGGGGTGACGGACACACGCCAGATACAATGTGTGTAGGAGGGGTAGCCGTTGGGAAAGCCGGGAGAGGACAGGTTTCCACTGGACTCCTGCAGGGTTTCTCCACATGCTGAAGGGAACAAGAAGATGGGAGGCTATGCATTAATTTTCATAAAGGATATAGGTATCATAAAGTTGTTTATATATCTTTCCATAGATTTTTGTTTTCATTTTGTTATCAATAAAAGGTCTTACTATGTAAAGAAGTCAGGCTGGTGTCAAACTTCTAAGCGATAGAATTAGAACTGTATGCAACTCTAAGAATAATTTTTGCTTTCCTAAAAGTATTTCTTTATATGTTTCTATTACAGAATTTCTGTATATCCTAATGGCATCGTTCGCGTTTGTATACATAAGATTAATAAGGAAATGAATTGCTATCCATAGAGTTCTCTCTAGTGTTGATCTTTCTCATTGTTTCTCACACAGCAATGAAAAGGATACCCAAGTTCAACCTCAGTCAGGGAGAACCTAATTGATACAAGTCCAGGACCACATAAAATATACCATCCAGATACTCAACATGAATTAAATAAATGAATGTTCAATGTGAACTGAATAAATTGAACGGAGACTACTATGTCAAGGTTGAAATATCTGAAATGATAACAGCCATGCAATAAAAGTGATCTTAAAATGTCACGCACAGTATTTTGAAATAATTTATAAAATAATCCAGCAGAAAAAAGCCACCATGGGAAGTTTGTATTTTATAAAAGCTCTAAAATATGTACTCCCTCTGTTGATCATAAATAAAAATTGCTTGAAAAGCAAATAGTATGGTTTATTTTTTTCTCTTATTAATCTTGTCTTATTCATTGACAGTAGTTACCAGGCATTTTGAAATAATGAGTTATTAGCTGCATGGCACCACAATCTCTGTTTGGGTATTACTGAGGTCAGCATCGTTCTATTATGGGCTTTCTGGCTGTGTGGGACAGGCCTGGCATGAGGTTTCTGAACTTAGGCTGCCTTAAGTAACTCTAATTCAAGACTGATTAGTCCAATGATGCCATTTGTCTTTATAACCGTCACTCAACAATCGGAAAGACCAATCCCTTCGCTGAAGGAGACCAGAAGTGCAAACTGAGGTATCACCATATTACAGAGCAATAGCTACCAGCAGTCGAATTCTTGTCTCATGAAACCCTCAATAAATTATAAATGGCTCTGCATTGCTTGTGTTAAAGAAAGATAATGACACCAAAAGCATAAAACAGAACTGTAAAAACAGCTTGAGAGGTATAACTATTTATTCCAAAAAATAGATACTATATTTGTACCACAAAATAAATTTAAAGGAGCAATGTTTATTCTGATGTGACAGCCAGACAGAAGGAGCTTTAGAAGAAAATGAAAATGCTCAAGGTCAAAAATACATAATTTAGCCCTGTTGGATGAATCATTTAGATATTCCACTAATGCTTTACAGAAGTAAAAAAAAAAAAATGAGTGAAAGTTTTATTAACATAAATAATGTGCTTCCAAATAGGAGATCAGTTTAGATGCTAAATCATGATTTGGGGGTTGAGTGTGTTTCAATGAGAAAATTATAATTCATAACTGCTTCAAAATAAATTTTATAAGGATTTGATGTCCCACTAAAGCCACACAGCATGCTTTGATAAGATTCTCTAAAGTGGAATTAAAACAAATGAATATATTTAATTCACAAATGTATATAAGCAATACGTTACTTTGATATATTTCAATGATTCTAAGTACACAGTAGTTAGAATCTACAATATGACCAACTTAGACCACTAGAATATTAGAATTAGGATCTTCACTCCATGATTTTACTACCACGTCTGCCAGTCGTCAAACATCTAGTAACTCACTGGAAATGTAATTAGAATTTTTTTATTTGTTTGGCAACACACTGATGAATTCCTAGCAGTAAGATTTCATTTTTATGCTGTTTTCTTAATGTCCTTGCAAAGAAAGAAAGCCCTCACAGAGGACCTCAACAGGATACCCTGTTGACATTGACAAGGAAACATTTGAGAATGAAATCCTATTCCTACTTAATGACAATCAACCATCCAATGTTCTTGTTTACTCATTCCAAGTAAAAGAAAGCAATGTGCTGTCTCTGTGCTTTACATTCGGCTTCTGGAACTTTGTAGGTCTAGGTGCTACAGGGGTCTTTCTCCCTCATTTTATGATCACTAACTACAAAGTGTTCATGGTTCCCTAGCACAGTTGATCAAATCATGGCATATGTATCTGGAGGCGCACTGTCAAGCAGAGCCTTACGTCTGCATTTCTACGGTTGCAATACCTGGACATCTATACAGCTTTCTTGCCTGGGCAATATCTCCTTTGCTTAAACGTGTTCTCTGACCAATGGCTGGACGTATACCATTATCATCACGGGAGGGGAGAATGGTATCCAGAAACATCCCCCTGAACAAAACAAAAACAGACCACACTTAAGTCACCACATTACAATTCAAGTCAATCAAAGGATTGTTTTGCTGCAACCAAAAGAAGAAGGAGGAGGAGGAGGAGGAGAGGAGGAGAAGGAGGAGGAGGAGGAGGAGGAGGAGGAGGAGGAGGAGGAGAAGGGGAAGAAGAAGAAGAGGAAGAAGAGGAAGAGAAGAAGAAGAAGAAGAAGAAGAAGAAGAAGAAGAAGAAGAAGAAGAAGAAGAAGAAGAAGAAGAAGAAGAAGAAGAAGAAGAAGAAGAAGAAGAAGAAGAAGAAGAAGAAGAAGAAGAAGAAGAAGAAGAAGAAGAAGAAGAAGAAGAAGAAGAAGCAGCAGCAGCAGCAGCAGCAGCAGCAGCAGCAGCAGCAGCAGCAGCAGCAGCAGCAGCAGCTCAATACAAAACATACTTTGCAAGGGATGGGAAGGGGAAACAAAGGAGGAGGCAACAATGCTTGATAAGAAATGTACTCATTACCTTGCCCATGTAATTGTAACCCCTCTGTAAGGAATTTTCACAATAAAAAAAAAACATACTTTGCTTGGTGTGACAATGTAGCCAACCACAGGATGCCTATTTTTTAAGCAATGCTTTGCCAACTGGCAATGATTAGCTATCTTTTTTGAACTTGATTATGATTAAGGAATACAAAACTGTGTGCTTAATACATATGATTCTAATGGTTGCTTTTAATTTATGTATTTAGTAGGAACTGGGAGGGGAAACGTATTTTTACAGTAACTTGTATGGTGCTTGCACCCTGCACAAGGCTGTGGGTGTTTTGATCCACAACACACACACACACACACACACACACACACACACACTCAGAGTAGTTCAAAATGTCCTTTAAATAAATGCCTGTGGTAGCTCTTGATGTTTTTCTACTTTGTTTTTGCTATGACACAGCAATATTTAAAGGTGGATCTAGTTTAAAGTCAAGTACAGTTATATGAGGAGTCACATGGAAGAAAGGAATTAAAAGTCAAAAAGTATAACCTGAAACTCCAACCTTGAGAAGGTGTTCCTGGCGTAGTGCATGATACTGTCAAAGTCATATCTTTCCCCAAGAGAGTTCACCTCTCCAGGCTCCATCTTCAGAAAATTATACTCTTGACCTAAAAATCAGGAATGAACAAATCAAAGCATCCTTTTAACTGGTGGAAAAGGCAAGACTACATTCCTTCCTAGACTTGCATCTGCTTTTTGCAAAATGACTTATCTCGCTAATTGTGTTGACACGCCAGCCCTCAGGTACCCATGCCAGAAAATGAATAAATAGAAAAAAATCTTTAAGATCTTTCTGAAAGAGCCATCCTGGAGTTATCCATGCATTAATTTCTGCAAAACAGAATTACATTTTGGGTTTGACTTATAAATATATTCTTTTATCACTTCTTAATAATTAAAAGTCAAAAGGTACAATCTGAAAAGTAAAGTAAGCCAGGCCCCAAAAAACATAGGTCCCATGGTTTCCCTTATTTGCAATAACTAGTATATGCCTAGGACAAGCAGAAAAGGTTAAAAGCTATGAACATATGACCATATAAGATAATGCTAAGTGAAATGAACCCCAAGGTTTTATCTTTCTTGCTGTTGTTTTTAATGTACTTATAATATACCATGTGATTTTTTTGTTTCTTTTGTATGATCTTTCTCCACAGTATAACCCCTGTTTTCACTGTATTTGATTCTGGTGCCCTGCATCTTGTACATACAGTTTTCTAATTTGGAGAGGGTAAAGGAAATAACGAAATGCTGCAACAAGGATACAGGTTGACCCATTGTAACAGATTGCAAGACACTGTTGAAAACAAACTTTACAACTTTTTTTTGGGGGGGTGGGAGGAGGTAGGGAGGTGGGGTGGGAAGGGATGGTAGGGGAAAAACAAAGGAGGGGGTAACAATGCTCGATAGGAAATGTACTCATATAACTGTAACCCCTCTATATAATATCTTTATAATCAAAAATATTAAAAAAATTATTTCTTTAAAATCATATTGCTTTTGTGAGTACTGTACAAATGATTATACAAATGCATTCATCTAATGAGTTGAACATCTTCCTTTTATAATTACATTTAGAATCTAAGAAACATTATAAAAAGATCTAAACACAATATTAACATAAACAGTCTGCTGGCTTTAGCTATGCTATTTGATCTCTAAAGATAAAACAACAGCAGTAAATCTACTTCCATCTAAAACTGAAACAAGGTTCTACTGGGCTTTGAACACAGGGGGTCATACTTGCTCAGCATGCTTGCTCAAATGGCACTCTATTGTTTGAGTCACACCTCCAGCCTTGTTTTTCTCTGGTTACTTTGGAGACCGAGTCTTGTGGAGATGTTTTCAGTGTAAGCTAACTTTGAACCACAATTCTTTAGATCTCAGCCTCCTGAGTAGCTAAGATTATAGGTGCGAGCCACTGGCATACAGCATCAGAGCCTTTTTTTATGAAAAATATGCTTCAGACTTTCAGTTCACATCTGCTACTTTCACTCATGGACATCTTCATGTTTAGTAGATTATTCAATGGCCTATTTATTCCCTATGGTAACATTATTTCTTGAAAATAGAAAGAAACAAACATTGTAGGTCTACACCCATGGTTCCACAACCAAAGAATTGCTTTTAATAAACTTTAGGCTTCCATGACTCTATTTTCACAGTGGAAGCAGACAAAGACGGCTCAAGTCATATCATGTATGTAACTAAGCTTTGAAACATTGCGACATAAGGTAGAATTCCACTTCACATTTGGAGCTAGTAAACCACTCACATAGCAAAGGTTCTTATTCCCATGGCCATATTTCTATCAAATATAATCATATCACATTAATTTATGAAAGTCAGTCATGGAATTTCCAGTATCAATGGCTCAAGCCGAGCTAGTTAAGAGGCAGAGATTGTGGATGGCAGTTTGAGGCCAGTCCAGGCCAAAATAAGAATTCATGAGGCGGCATTTGGACCAATGGATAAGTGCTCGATGTGTGCCTGTTATTCCAGCTGTGGCCCTGGGCACAAAGGAAAGTGTCTCCATCCTAATGACAAGGAGAAATGAAATGGGAGGATCACAGTCCAGCCATGCCTCCACAAAGCAAAACAAGCGGATTGGAGTGGTTTAGGTGGTAAAGCACCTTCCTAGAAAGTATGAGTCCCCAGTAGCCAGTACTACCAGAAAGAGAGAAAAAGAGATTGAGTGAGAACTATAATATCATGCAATGGAACTTACTAAACACTTCTTTGTACAAAGGCAGAAGGAACCATCTGATGCTAAAGTGTTTTACTCCATCTTTGAATAGAGCCATACAATAAATGCACTTAAAGATGAAACTATTTTTGATTAACTAACAAGCCTGTATAATGAAAAATGTATCCCACACAACTCAGATATGTCCCATTTAAACATTCTTCAAAATTACAACCTGTATTCTGTCTCATAAAAGCAGCTCTTAAAACTCGTGCCAGCAAATCCCATGAAAAGATGAAACCAAAACAACAACAACAAAAGAAACCTACGGACCAGATTTTGTAGTTATTATCCCAAAAGACTTCACTTGAGAGCACAATATGGGAGCAGAGACTCTTACTAAAACAAAATACTACGTAAAACTTTCTGAAAGAATTTAAGCAACTGCATCCAAAATTAGATGACCATGATAAGTGATTACTTGAATGTATGTGACATAGTTTGTTGTTGTTGTTGCTACTTAAAAGAATCATTGTTATAACCTGCTGAAATTAAAAGAAAATGAGTCTTCTTTATGGAAAAAAGGACAAGTCCCAGTGATGCAAAGGACCAGAGAAAATCACATTTATCAATAAAAAATAGCAAGGTCTAAAAGGCATATTCTAACTTTAATCCAAGCCTCAGAAACTTTTTTTTAGCAATTTCTTCTTATCATAGTAACCTAATGTGCATAGAGATTCGAAGCCTAGGTCCATCAGTGCTTCACAAACATTGCTTTGCAGTAACACCTAATATTTTCTGAGTCAGTAAATAATAAATGTATAGACAATTCATCTCCAATATGAATGTTTTCAGACTGCAATTGCTCTTTTATAATACTTCCAATCACTCATAAAAGCTTAACCAATAATTCTTGCTTCTCCAATTGCCCTAAAAGTTTAGTGAACAGAAAAAAAATGTTAAAAACTGTAATTTGTCTGGCACTCTATTATTTACATTAATTATATATTTCTTCCTCATATTAGATTCATAGTCATGTTGAATAAGCAACTTACTTAAAAGTAAGAAACATGTTTTAAATGTTACAATCTTTGTTAACATTTTCTTATCCATATAGTAAAACGTTTGATAGACAAAGGAAACTAAATAACTGTGGTCAAGAGCAAACCCCTTATTCCTTGTTAGCTAAAACAATTTTCAAAACTATTTCCCTTTTATTGTGCAAATCCTGGGTCTTCAACTTAGGTCCTAGGTACTGTGCCTTAGCTATTTTGCTTACAGATAGCACTCTATCACTTGAGCCCTATCTCCACTTCTGGCTTTTTTGGATAATCAGAGTAAGATGTCTTACAGATTTTTCTACCCACAGGCTTGGACACATGATCCTCAGATCTCAGCCTCCTGAGTAGCTAGGGTTACAAGCATGAGCACCATCACCTGGTCACCTTCGCTTTTTAAGCTTGCAAAGTGCAAGATGAACCCTGAGGATAGGAGAGTATAAATGTGCTGTGCTTCTCTTTGCTTCTCTTTGCTGTCCAACTCTACAGATGACTTCTCCAATCTCTCTTTTTGCTTTTTCTCTCTCCTTTCCTCTCTTCCCACACTCTCAGATAGATAGAGATAGATAGATAGATAGATAGATAGATAGATAGATAGATAGATAGATAGATAGATAGATAGATAGATAGATAGATCAGCTGGCCAGTAAGATAGTTGGTAGATTAGATTTCCTATAATCTAACTTTCCCATATAATTACCAATTGATCTCTCACAATTTATTTGGCAGCCACAGTGGCTAGAAGAAAACAACTTTAACACATCTAATAGCCTAGAACTTTTCGAATTCCCTATCTACCTGGAACAATTCTACTTTACTTCTTTTCTTCAAAACTTTTCTTAATTTTAATTTTTGGCATATCTTTTGATTTGCCAAAGGGATTTGTTATAATTTATTTGGCTAATTACTACTTTTTCTCACTCACAGTCATTCATATATCTGCACAAAACCCACAGTAAGTTTAGAAATTTTTCTTGACATTACCTCCAATACAAAACAGTGCCTCAATAAATAATTAAGACCAAATATAGAGATCAAATAATAATCAACATTGTTACAGAAAGTTCTAAGGGGTTCAACATTGTAACTTAAATAACTATGAATAAAAAAATAATATAGCTTTACTTTGCTTATGTTTAAAAAGAACACTACCTTAGAAGAAAATTTCCATTTCAAAATTAACTTTCAAATTTCTGAATTTTTCTGGTATATAAATTTACTGAATTTTTTGTATGCTAAAGCTAAACAAAATTTTATGATGTGGTAATTAGCACATTTCCAACTACCACAGAAAATTAATTTTTAATAAAAAATTATATTTCAGCTGCTGAAATATTCTTAAGGATATGCCTTTAGTGTAGGCTTCATTTGGCTCAACTTTTTTCCAGAAATTATACTTGATATAACATGAATTTCTGTGGTTGCAGTTCATGTCAGGGTAAACCCTGAGCTCTCTGTAGATTCATTTAACATAAATTATAATGCTAAGTAAAAAGCTTAAAGAAAAAAATCATTTAGTAACATTAATTTAGGTTCTTTCAATAGAGTTTATAAATAACTAGATGTTAAAAGAGAAAGCGAGCCTTAACAATGCATGAGATCATTCAATCTCTAAGAAAAATAATACAAATACATCCTGGGTAGTTTTTAATAAATCAAAGTTTTTACTGTATCAAAAATGATGACACTCTTTACAAGATAATTAAGTGCACATGTCCTGAAAGTTCTCACCTGGCTGGATATTCTCTCTAATGATGGTCACATGGTTGTCTCGATCTGGCCGTGTGTGCTCATGCCAAAAACCTATCACATGACCTAGTTCATGAACAACAATTCCAAATTTATCACAGTTCTTTCCAATGGAGATGGCCTGAGGACCATTTCCCCGCCGACCTACATAGGAACAGCATCTGGAACAAAACAGATGTGGATGGGGAATTGGAAGAAACTCTTTTAAAAATTTACAAAATTAAAAGAACAGTGTCAAAATGAATTGATCAAGTGATCAAACAGACTTTCACTATTTTATCTTCCAATATAAATGCATTTGACACACCAACCATGTCCTCCCATCTTATTTTTATCAATCGTTTCCTAAGGCTTTAAATTCCTATGCATTTTAACCCATCCCATCCCAACAGATAAAACAAGATACACTCATCTGTAAATCTATTACAGCACTTGAAGGCTTAATAACTCAATAATAGAAAGAAGAGAGAGGTAACTAGTAGGAAAATGGTGAAAATCAATATATACTTTCCCCAAATCTCAGAATAATTTTTAAAATAATATGGCTTAATTGTACACACAGTACTCATCCCATACTCAAAAGGTTATTCATCATTTATCTAACATAAGTTAGACACAGGAAAACAAGACACCCTGCAAATTTTGGAGATTTAAACTAAAATTCCTGCTGCTTTAATGTAATAATGATAAAACTGAATAACCTGATGATAGCATGGCAAGACCCAAACTGAGTCATGCTTGGTTATATTATGAAAATATAGTAGTTTGCAAAAGAAATTCTGAATGTAAACACTGTTAGGGAAAAAGAGGTATATGAACTGCCCTAATCATTGACCCAGCAAGATACAGATACACAGCTGTTCATAGAGCAAAACTTCACTGAGGGAAGCTCAGTCATCAGTGAGAATGGAGAGATTTCCACTGAGAAGAGTAAGGGGGAAACATTCTAAACAGCTAAACTTTCATGAGCAAAACACAAACGTATGATAGTAAATGAGAAAGAATAATCTGGGAAGATAAAACAGAGTGAGAAATCCTTAAAAAATGCATTTACTGAGACCAAAAATTGAGTGATTAAGTAGTATGCTAAGTCCATGTTTATTTTTCTAAATTTAAAGGTGGGAAGGAAGATGTGTTGATCTAAAAATACTATGTATTTAGAAATAAGTAAGCTGATCTATGGCTTGAATCAGATATTCAGAAGGAAGGAAAGGAAGGAAGGAGGGCAGTTAAGATGTGAACTTTTTAAATATTAAATAGATGTATACAAGTAGGAGGCTTTTCAAGTGTAACCAAAATCCATCCAGCCAAAATTAGAGTAATTTGGACAGAAACATCACTTAATTATTAAACATTGCTTAATAATAATTTATAGCATTATCCAAAAGTATCTAGAAAGGTAATGATGTCTAAATTACTGTCACTCATAGCCAAAATTGAAATACATCACGTGTTTAAATTAAACTGTGTTCTAGGAATGTATGGCAAATTAAAGATGGAATACATGGCAAAATAATTCAAATCTCCGCCCTCTCCAAAATTACTACATCTCATTAGGTCAAGAACTAAAAGAATTTTTTATTTTTACTTCTGTTTGTCAATTTCACCACAGAGCGTTCAAACAGCTCTAGCAGATTAACAAAAATTTTCTTTTTTAGAAGAAATCTTAGCTAAGAAATGTAAAAATAGAACTATAAGAACAGTTGGAAGCTACCCGGAGGCAGAAACAGAAAGATCCTGGTTCCAGGTGGACCCAGACAAACATGAACAAGATCCTATGTCAAAACTGATCCAGGAGTAGTCCTAGCTACTCAGGAAATGGAGGTAATAGTATCACCACTGCAGGCCAACACGGGCAAAACCGTGGGAGATCCTGTTTTCAAGACAAACTGAAGCTAGGTGTAAACAGTTTACAATTGTAGTCCCAGCTTCTTAGGAGTGATAAATCTGAAAGATTTATAGTTCAGAACCGGCTCAGGCAGAAATTTCCACGTCACTCCAGCTCTAATACAACCTGTTAAAAGTTGCACAGGAAGCATGCTCAGAAGACCAGCCAAAATAGCCAGATGGACAAGTGTGAGGCCCTAAATTCAAGCCCAATATTGGCAAAAAAAAAAAAAAAAGGTCAGGAAATCTAAAAACAAACAACGACTTGGGGTATGAGTCAATTATAGCAAGCTCAAGGTACTGAGATTTAAAAAATTCGATTAGAAAAATCACTATTTTGCAATGATATATCCACTGGTCCATTACAAAAGTGGTCATAAACTGCAAGTCCAGGTACTTACATAGCAAGACATAAACAGATCATATAGTCTATCAAATCTTAGGAAAAGAAAAGGCTGAGTTTAATCATAAATTTGATTCATTTAAATATGAATTCAAATGCACTAAAAAACAGGAGAGAGAAGTTTGAAAACTTCTATAACCAAAGACATTTTAAAGCACACAAAACAGCTTGGAAAACTGCTATGATTGCGTGTTGGCTGGACGATGGGATTTATGGGGAGATGTGGTGGCGGAAGCAGCTGGAAGTCGATGTTGTGGTTAGTTTATGACATTCTTTAAATGTCATATCAAGGAATCTGGATTCATTCTCAAGCTAGTATTTCCCAAAATGTTCAGGGATATTATTGATGTACATGCCTTGTTCTCCAAGGAGCTGGAATGAGTGCTGTCTTTTAAAATAAAATGTAAAAGGTCAGTTAGGCTGTGGAAATGCATATTCAGATGTAACACAGCCATTTTCCCGGTTCATGGAATTTAAGTTTGAAAAGCAGGAGTTTATCCTGTAGGAATCAAATCTGAAAGACACCACCTATCACAGGATGTAGGAAGCAACAACAATTCATCTCAGAATAGCTACCATCTTGCTCTAACCATCAGGTTTACAAGGTAGCAGTAATAACAGCAGATGGGTGAAGACAAACAGAGGAGCATGTGTGAAATGCTGGGATGTAGATGAACTGGTTCCTGGCATAGAATAGAGAGAAAAACCAGCATACAAGGTACATCGCAGCACTGTGGAGTTAACTGCATAGATTTCTACAAGGACCCCAATAGAAACACTGGACAGAGTCACTCAAAGTTCTAATGAGATGAGTAGGAACGCCTTTGTTACAAGAGAAATTAGCTGTGGTCATAGAGACACCAAATTCTGTGATCATCAGAGTAAATGTGTCTAGTAGGACCATGTCCACATTAAGGAATGAATGGTTTTAATTTCCTCTCCTTGTCCTGGCAACTTCCTGCTATCCTTCCATTTCTACTTACCCACAAGGCCTATAGGTGAACACAATGTAGCTCTCTTCATCACTCCTTTCAATGAAAGTCACACACGTATGCTTTTCCCAGTGCCTCATGGCCTGCTTGAACATGGCACGCTGGCTGCCTGGGTAGGAAAAAAAATCACATGACTTTAATAAAACAGTGTCTGTGCCAGGAAGGAGTGCTCTGTGGTAGCTTCCTCCAGTCTGAGCCTGGCTGGGTGGCTAAGAATGCCCTTGTTATCATCAACCACAGAAACCTAGCTTGGCGAACCAGGAATGAGTCACTGCTGAGAATCCACACTCACTTTGTTAAAGTTTACTACTTCTACAAATATGTTGGTGCAAGGCTCCATAAATGGTGTATCCATTGTTCCTGTCCATGAAAGAGAGATTAGACCCCAGAGTTAACAGATACACTTGAACCTCAGTTTCAGAACAGTACTGTACACTCTTACAACACAAGACTCCAGGGAGTCAAGCTCAAATCTTTTCAGTTAGTAACCTATGTGAATTACCGTATTTCTCCAAGTTTAAAACTGGATGCTATGTTTTATGTAGTACTATTCTAAATTTAAAAAAAACAACACTCTCAGTCTACATGGTAGTTTTTCTTTCTCGACCACAACAGACATGCTGACAGTATCTTACCAGTAAAGTTGCCTCCAATGACATAAGGAATCACACCTCCGGGCCATACTCTTTCAGTCCGAGATGTAGCAGCTCTGGGAACTCGATTTTTCTCATATTGCCCTGAGAATTTTAGAGGTATTTTTGCCTTCACTGTGTTGTTTTGCTCCAAGCCTGCAGTGACATTTAAGACATTCTGTGAAACACAAGTCGTGGGCCAAGAAATCACTTACCTCTTAAAGGACCAAACTTTGAAATGCCTTATTTGGAGATTTGCTTAAATGTGCCTGGAGTCAAAAAAATTAAAGAAATGCGTACTTACGAAAAACATTAAAAATAGTTAAGTATTTCACATCCAAGAACTATTTCTATTCACAGATTTGATGCATTTCTATACAACAGCAGATACGAATCAGGTAAGCTTGGAAGGCCAGAGAAAAATGATGAATCTCTGTGGTAGTCAAAAAGCTCCTATTTTGCCTAATATCAACTTATCTGACGGTTTTTGCTTGTCTCAGACATATACTAGTTATTGCAAAGAAGGGAAACCATGGGACCTATGTTTCTTTGGGCTTGGCTTACTTCACTTAATATAATTTTTTCCAAGTCTTTCCATTTCCTAACAAATGGGGCAATGCCATTCTTTCTGATGGAGGCATACAATTCCATTGTATATATATGCCACATTTTCTTGATCCATTCACCTACTGAGGGGCATTTGCGTTGGTTCCATATCTTAGCTATGGTAAATAATGCTGCAATAAACATAGTTGTTCTGGTAGCTTTAGTGTGGTCTTGTTTGTGATCATTTGGGTAAATGCCCAAAAGTGGGATTGCTGGGTCATAGGGGAGCTCTATGTTGAGTCTTTTGCGGAACCTCCATACTACTTTCCAAAGTGGTTGAATAAGTTTACACTCCCACCAACAATGCAGTAAGGTTCTCTTCTGTCCACATCCTTTCCAACAGGTGGATCCATTGCAACAATGAGATGTATAAGACATTATGTCGAAAAACAAACTTTACAACTTTGAGAGGGGGGAGAGGGGTGGGCAGATGGGGACAAAGAGGAGGCAACAATGCTTGATAAGAAATGTACTCATTACTTTGCCCATGTACAGTATTTTCACAATTAAATAAATAAATAGATAATAAAAAACCTATGCAAAGTTAAAAAAAGATCCTATTTTAACTAAATCTTTTAGCTTTTATTCAAGATCTGTATTCGGCAATGGAGTCTAAAATTATGGATGTTACATAATATAGTGATAGTCGACATGCTCTTAGCCAGCTTAATTAATAGAGTCTCTCTCTTCCAGTCCTCTCAGATTCATCCTCACTATCTGCAAAATTCCAAGGTATGTAATGCACAAAACTAGCCCTCATTAAATTCTGTCTATGCTAGAGCAGCTGCATGTATATAGTCATTTATTTCCTTGCTAGGATTTCATGTTTTGTTAGTGTTTCTGCTTTTCACAGACTAGCACAATTCTTATAACTTTTCCATCACAGTTGAGACAAATGCCCTTCCACTACTATATACACTGACACAACAAATAGCTTCCCCGATGTCTATATCCTGAGCATGTCTAAGCTTTTGATGCTCTGGAGCAAAGATTTTTGTTTAGGAAAATTAGTCTTCAAAAGCATATACTCTGAATATTTAAAATTTTGTTTTATGTGTATTATATTCTGGGGCTTCAACTCTGGGCCTGGGCACTGTACCTGAGCTTGTTTTGCTCAAGGCTAGCACTCTACCATTTGAACCACAGCTCTACTTTATGATGGGTAATTGGAGATAAGAGTCTTGCCGACCCCACAGGGGCTGACTTCTAGCCTCAATTCTCAGATCTCAGCCTCTTGAGTAGCTAGGATTACAGGTGTAAGCCACTGGTGCCCAGCTCTAATGCATTTCCAAGTAAAGGGAAGCTTAAAATAATTATCACAAATATAGAACTTAAATTAAAAGCCAGTTGTGGTGACTCCAACCTATAATCCCAGCTACTGAGAAAGTGAAGACTGTGAGGAGCACAGTTTTAAGCCAGCACAAGCACAAAGTTGGCAAAGTTATCATCTCAACAAACATCTGGGTAACATGACACACATCTGTAATCCCTGCTGCATGGGAAACATAAGCTGGAGGATTATGGTCCACTCTGGCCTGGACATAAATGTATAACCTTATCCCAAAAATAATAAAGCAAGGAGAACTGAGTGTTGCTAGAGATAAAATGCTTGCCTAGTAAGTGAGAGGCCCAGAGTTCAACTCCTAGTACCATGATAGATAGACAGACAGACAGACAGATTATATGGTAAGACAATGGAGAAGCCACATTTTGAGAGGTCGAATCTTGAAGTCTTTATTAAAAGTCAGTGACTGCATGGTGTCTCAGAGACCAGCAGCCAGCAAATACACTTAAACTGTTAGGAAATTGAGCCATTAAGACCAGAAAAGCAAAAACACAAACAATACCAACAGACCAATTCAGCTCCGGTGGAGGGTTGAAGTGGGATGTCTTGGTGACCGGAGACAAGAGACAAGACTCAAACTCGGAGACACATGGCAGGGTTTAATGGTGCCTGAGGTGGTCTAGGCCTAAAAAGGATCAGGTCAGGATGCAGGGTTACAGGACACTCCCAGTCCCAGGCACTGGACAGGTTTAATAAGCTATCATCCAACTCCCTACCCTGCCTCCAGGAATTCAGGCACATCCATCACCTAGAAGGCAGGGGCTTCAGATTCCTCCACCATGAAGACAACATGCCAGACCCTACCATCCACCATGGGGCCAAGATGGTGCTGGACAGACCCAATCTCCCTACTTCAAATAGATAGATAGGTAGGTAGATAGACAAACAGACACACAGATAGGTAATAAATGATAGATCTATCATTTACATCTACATGATGTAGATGTAGATTAAATATATGCATATATGTATGTATAGGGAGAGATGTGGTTAATAAAAATAAATAAGGGACTCTTAGCTAGCATATATCCTTTAACACTTCACATCACAAAGGTACTCTGGTTTAAATAAACCGAACTTGTATGAGTATGATATCCATTGCACATCAAGTTAAGAATATGAGCATTAAAGATGGATATACCAGAGCCAATTCTTCTTATCCTGTCTATAAGTTGATAGAGAGCCCCTCGTTTCTTTGACATACCATGGTCTCCAAGCCCACCTGGAAAAAGAAAATAGTTCAGTTGAACTCGTGTACTGTAAAACTCTTGCAATAATAAAAACATCACATTGATGAACAATAAGAATAAACGACACTGATTTTTCTACGGCCATCTGATTTTTGTGGTCTCAAAGTGTTAGCGTCATGACTCTCTACGAACTCTGCAGAGGTTAAAAGTTCTACACCCTCAAATGCTGGCAACTGAACATAAGGAGGTGGGAGAAATGCACAAAGAAACCTCAATTACTTTATTTGGACATCTTAGTAATTGAGTCATCTATGGATAATTTGAGGCATTTTTCTTCCCTGTGCCCTTGACACCACATACTGCTATGCCGAATGACAGCACAGTTGTTCTGCCCTGTTGCCTGCCTTCCAGCTATTTCCCCTATGCAAACAGTATTTTCAGATGCCACAGCAGTCATGGAAATGCAAACGCTGGAGGAAGGAGCTTGTAGCACAAGTTCTACTCCAAAGCTTGGATACACTTTGAGAATGTAAAAATTCATAATAATAAAATAATGCATCAGAACACATTCAAGTAAATTTTGAAAATTAGCTTTTCTGAATGATAAGAATCTAGTAACATAGAATGAAGGGAAAAGTCAAAGGTGAGGATCTAAATGAATGTTCCGTGACAAAACATTCTCCTGCAATAGAAATTTCTGAGTATGTATAGAACAGAAGCGAGGAGTACAACCATATCTTTTTCAGTTTTAAGAACCAAGATGAGAAAGGCTAGGTTCTGACTGAAGTTAGGAACCAGAGAATTCTGCACTAGTCCAAATCCCTTCATATCCACACTTTTCATAAAAGGCTGTCCAAAGGTTATTTTCCTTCTTCTTAAATTTTTAATAGAAAAGTAAGAAAGAAGCATCACAAAAAAAAAGGAAAGTAAAAAAGAAATCATGCGATGGAACTGATCATGACATCAGAACTAATGCAGAAGCATTTGTACATCAAAAAGTGTTTATATGTGCTTTGGGTTAAAATTTTTTTAAATAGAAGCAGAAATCCCTAAGACAATAAAACTATTCTCGGATTTTGAATTATTCCCTTCCACTATCAATTTTGCCTTTGAAATTAATACTAAAACACCTAGGTAGAAGCTAAAAACAGACAATAAAATCTACTTCCACAGATGCCACCCAAAGAAAAACTCCAAAGTCCTTATAAGGCAACTAAGAGTGTTTGTTCACTGACAAATAATAGTCTAATTATTTGCATTACACAGTCACATTTTTGCTGTGCATCTTGAGAAAAAGCTTTCAGACTTTTTTCCATTCAACATTTTAGAAAGATGAGGTCATACTTAAATGTGTGCATTCCTAAAATGCTACTAGAAACCTTGTTAAACTAGGCATCTATGTGTTTGAAATGACCATTTGTGGTGACTGGCTATCTTTGACAGGTCTGAAACATATAGGAATAGAGTTATAAAGGGGATTTATTATGAGGAAATAGATGTATCATTGTGTAAGAATCAGATAATTACAAGGATAGGATGAATTATAGAATTAACAATCAGTGTTTCAAGGCTATTAAAACAATGTTGGGAGTGGAGTAACTTTTTTGAACATTTAATAATTTTCATGCCAATTTAAATAGAATGCGACATTGGTAGTTTAGTGAAATAGGAAAAAAGAAAAGGTGTGGTCTGTCACATGTTCTAAAACAATGAAAATAGGCATGTTAATAAAGATTTATAGAAAAACTATAAATTTTGAAAATAATGAAAAACACAGTATACATGAATGAATACAAAGAAATGAAGCAGTTAGAAAAAATACAGAGCTTACATTTGTAAATTTTAGGAAATTTACCAGAATTGTGCAAATTACCACTGAATTTTCACATGTGTATTCCTGTCATATATGCATTTCAAATAATGTTTTCTTATTAAGAGTATAATCTGACATATTCTATATGTTTAAAATCAAGTTACTTTTCTTCCAGTTCTATTCTCATAAGGCTTAAGTTTAAATGAAACTTAAAATTTTAATAGAGTTTTAATAAACCTCAAATGACTGAAAATTAAGACTCCAATGTGAGGTGAGGGGAAAGTGAAAGAAATGTCCTAAAAATCATTAAAGCTAATGAAAAGTTTAACAGAAGCCGGCAATGCTACGTCAAATGAATCTAGAATTTTTCTGAGTGTGATCATCCCTTCATCATCCAAAACAAAGGCTTCCACAGCAGCGTTAAGTGGGAAGCAGCAGCTAGAAAGGGAATGCCAATGAATACCTCCAAGACATGTGCTACGCATCCACTCTAAAACAAGAAGTGCCCTTGCAATGATTCATATCTCAGATGCACATAAAGGACACATTATTTTTGACCAGTACATGTTCTTGTTTCGAGTAATTTTCTTAGCTGGAATAATGTCTTTGTTCTTAGAGAGTTTTCACTAATCTACCAGTGCTAAAGTGTTTAAAGAAGGAATGAGGAGAGTCTGCAGTCAATGCCTAGTGCTGAAATTAATCAATAAACAGTATTTTGGTATTATATACTTTATATAAACATATTATATATATCCTTCAATTAATGTCAAAATGTTGTTTTGTACACCTAGAGACATGTAAGTACCTCAAAGAAAATATGATAAACTGCTAACAACTATGGAATCTAAGAGGACAATGCACTGGTGTTTCTTAAGTCATCTTAATTTCTCCATTCATAGTAACAAAAATTTTGTAATAAGCATAAATGGAAACAAACATAAATGGAAACACTGATTCACAGTAATCCTTACATCTAATATATACTGTCTTGTAGATACTACAAAGAAACTATGTATTTAATTTTCATGAAATAGAAGAAGAAAATCTGAACTGCACTGAGAATGCAATGAGATCAAAAGGCATAGCCTCAATTAAATATTCTAATCAGGGGGCTGGGAAGGTGGCTCAGTGGTAGAGCACTTGCCTCGCATGCATGAAGCCCTGGGTTTGATTCCTCAGCACCATATAAGCAAAAAGAAAAAAGCCGGAAGTGGCGCTGTGGCTCAAGTGGTAGAGCGCTAGCCTTGAGCTGAAGAGCTAAAGGACAGCATCCAGGCCCAGTGTTCAGGCCCCACAACCGGACCCCCCCCCAAAAAATAATAAAAATAAAAATAAAAAATAAATATTCTAATCAGAACTATGGGAAAAAAGTGTTTTTCTTCTTTTAGCCTCCCATTTTTTCTCCAGTATAGAATACAGAATACAAATCTCTCTAAGAAATTCTTTCATTTTAACTAAGATACTTTAAAGTGAGAACTGAGGAATTTCTAAAATACTTCAATTTTCACACACACAATCTAAACATGTTCAAAAAAACAAAAATGGAATTTGTCTTGTGAGGTTTTCCTAAAAGTTATAAAGATAGATCTGGATAGATACAAAAATATTGCTAAAGAAGTTTCCATATACTCTATGAATAATCCACATTTTTCAACTAACTATCCAAAGCAGAGATAAATAAATAAGGCTAGACTATGTGTCCTTTCTTAGAACTGAATTTTGGTTCTGATTCAGTCATTTCCCAGCTCTATGACAATAAGAAAACTATATGACTACTCAATTTCATCTCCTCATATGCAAATTACAATCCAATTACTACTGAACTTTGTAGCATTGTTATAGAAAATCAGAAGGTTACTATGTGCAACGCACTTAACCTTACATAAACACCTCAGTGTGTCTGTTAAAATAATAATACATGAAACCTAAACTGCTACATGTTCATTTCCATGCAAGCAATTAAATTCATCAGTGGGACATTAATAATGATCCAAAGAATATATATGGCATTCCAAGAGTACATTCTCCACAATGAATATGAACAAGTCAGGTAATCAGCTGTACCTGTGGTATGTCCAGCTCTTCCGAAAGGGTTCTGTGTCAGATCAATCGTCCTATCTATTTGAAAGATATTTAAGTCTTCATCGTCTAAGGCAATATCACCCCAAAATACAGCTACAAGAGAAAAGTTGAATTGAAATATAAAATACTGCAGAAGTAGAATCAACACAACTAATCTAATTCAAAAAACACTGCTAATGTAATCTTAATGGGATATGGTGGCGCTTAATATCTATAAATACATAGCCTATAGACATGTGTGCCTGCTGTTTTTATTTGATTTGGTTTGGTTTGGTTTTTCTTAAATTTTATTTTTGTGGGGATGGTGTAAATCATTTCTTTGAATAAGAAGGTTATTGATGATTTACAGGGGTGCTAAGCAATGGGAAATTGGCGATCATGCGCTGCTCTGAAAAGATTGTAAAGGTCTAACTACCATACTGGTATTTTCTATGGATGCCTATGGCCAAAGTGGTCTTCACAAACAGGTGGAAACAGTAATAACTAAATTCCATGCTGTGGTAATTTTATGGATCAAAGTACAACTAAGACAACAGAACATTGTTCTACTATAGCTACCTATTCGTTCACATATTTAGTGCATTTTATACATTTATAACACATTTCTCAAAAGATGACATGGCCTTTGAGTTTCTATAGATGCAAACATAGTTACCAAACATAAAATGTAAGTCAGCTTTTATTTAAACTAAAACCAGGTGCCAGGCCCTTGCATATTTGAGACAAGTAAGACATGGTTTATGATTTCAGGAGCCTCAAAGCCATTTCCTTACAGCCTGGAAAACACTTTGACTCCAGTGTTTTATGATCCTTAATAAAGCAAAGCTCTATAGACCCTTGTGAAATAATAGCGTTCGTTTATAACGAGTATGCAAATTTCTCTTTTAACATTAACATCACAAGGCAATGGCCTCCTTGGTGGAACCCAAACTAAATCAATTGGTCCTTCAGAGCTGCCAGACGTCACAGCCCAGTTACTCTAGGAAACACAACAAACTCAAGACAGAATATGGTCATTACAGCTCAGTGAAACTCTGACAAATGCCTCGAAACTCAGGGTAATTGTTTTCCTGCTACACATTTATACGTTTTCTTCTTTTTCATTTAACCTCAGAGTTTCTCCTGTAAAATGTAAAAATAAAGGTGGAAAATAAATTAAAATTTACAAAGTCAAAATTATCCACTCTTTAATCACTGTGTTTGCTTGGACTTGACTCTTAATGAAAGTAAGCTTTAAAAGAACTAGAGTTCATACATTAATTAAATGACAAAACTAAGGTTTAACTAGTGAGTATAATTAGTTAACTGATAACATTTAAACGCCAATCCTAAAAGCTATGAAAAGTTTTGGGATTTGATCAAAAGTTCTTCATATAAATATAAAATAAGAAATTAATTAATTAGTTAATTTATCAATTTAAATTCTGTCACAACACTGCCATTTGGTTAGATTTGGTTAGGAGTTAGATTTGTTTATAAATTTAGGCATGAAGATAGTAGAATTTAGTTCAAAGTAAGTTTTTCACTGCAACATGAAAAAGTCATTCTGCAAAACTAGCTATTCAAGGGACAGAGAGCTAAGGATCACAGCCTAAAGTCTGAATGGCAGGCAGTCCATTAGACTCTTATCTCCAATTACACATACAGACACATACACACATATATACATACACACACACACACACACACACACACACACACACACACACACACACACATGCCAAAAGTAGAGCTTTGATTCAGTGGTACACCACTAGCCTTGAGCAAAATAAAAACTAATAAATAGGATACTGCCCATGCCTTGAATTGTACCAAAATAACAGAAACCAAAACAAATCTGAATTTTCTTCTCAACCAACAATTCTGTCCTATCACCAATAATTAGTTTATTGACAAATGTAATAAATGTAAGGAGATGCTCATTATTGTCTACTGTCATGGAAAGAAGCCTTGAAAATCATTTTACAAAAACATTTATAATGCCACCAAAGAGTTTGATGCCTCAAATTAAACCCATATTGTAAACTTGTAAACTTGAACCTGTGCATCAAACACAAATAATACCCCAAAGTCCCTGAAGCCACTCATCTCAAGAAAAACATGATCTACCTAATTTAAATATTTTGCGAGTTATGCTATAATGTTGGTTGGTTGTCATTGGGATAAATTTAGTATTGGTTCAAGATCTTAAGGTAAATCCAACTGTGCTACTTTTCAACGCAGCCATCATGTGTGTTCCCTGCCAATAGTTGTGGACACTGCCTGGTAGACACTCTGCCTCTGGTCTTCTTAATGTGAAGCACTGGGGACAACCAGAGACTGGAACACTGCTTCTGAAATTCACTCTGTCTAAGACCCAGCAGGTCTTCGAGTTAGAGTGTCTAGAGAAGAACCTCTGGTCCTTACATTTTAACAAATGATTCTCATTGTTACCATCTTTGTTATCATTTTTCATCCTTACATAATTGTACAAAGGAACTGCCATTTAACAACGCAGTTTATATAGAAGGAAACCTTTCCAACTAGAATGAAACTTTGCTCTTGGGTGATTAACCTGAAAACAGAAGCACACCAGCAGTCAAACTCCAGGTTTTGCCAACCCTATAGTCTAATAAAGTAAGTATCTGTAAAATAGAATTCAAATGTGTTGGAGATTTCATTTTCTTGTGATGGCATTTCATATGCACGAGGATCCATGCACCAGTGGATTACATCAAACCCAGGCCAGCAAGCATGAATCCTTTTACAAAAGCAAAACACTTTTTCTTGAGCAACTAAAAAAAAAAAAATCCCCCAGCCAGAGAAATGATGGCTTGTTAGAAAGGAGACAAAACCATTCCGGAGGATATAACTCATTTTATTCATTTTTTTCTAAACTAATAACTTCAAAATCATTTGGAATTTCTGAAAACTTCATTTATTGCTCCTGGGAATAAATGGAATAGCAAAGAACTTCTTTAAAAGTAAAGCAATAGGTTGAGATGAAATGGTTCATCCATGTGTAGACCTGTGGCCCACACATCTTCTTTAAGGCTTGATTTTATCAAAAGAAAAGAATAAACATTTTAGAAATTTCTTTTTTGTATATAATTTTTATTGTAAAGATGCTGTACAGAGGGGTTATAGTTACATTTCCTATCGAGCAGTATTACCTCCTCCTTTGTTTTTCCCCACCAGACCTTCCCTTCCCACCTCCCCAACTCCTCCCTCCCCCTCCCCCAAAGTTGTAAAGTTTGTTTTCAACATAGTGTCTTGTACATCTCATTGTTACAATGGGTCAACCTATACCCTTATTTCATCCTTTTGTTATTTCTCTTTCCCTCCCCAAATTAGAAAAATGTATATACAAGCTTCAGAGCACCGGAATCAAATACAGTGAAAACAGGGCTTATAACATGGGAGAAGAACATACAACAGAAACAAAAAAATCAAATGGTACATTATAAATACATTAAAAACTACATCAAGGAAGATAAAACCACCTGTGTCTCTATCTTGGGGTTCATTTCGCTTAGCATCATGTTATGACCATCAAATTTTCAATATCCTCCATGGTTCATTTTATTAGTGTGTACTAATGTGCACAAATGATGTGCAATATCACAATTCCACACATGCACATCATGTATTTAAACACAATTTAAACCCAATTCGGTCCTCCTATTTTTCTTGTTTATCCTCCCCTTCACCCATTTTTAAAACAAATTATAGCAAGAGTTTTTTAATTCTGTTTTCATATGTGCCGATAAACTTCTCCAATCATATTCATCTTCCTTCAGTTTCTCCTTTTGGTCTCTCCCTTATGTTTGGTTCCATCCCAAAATAGCCATTGATAATATTTTCATTAAGATTTAGATTCCATCTATAAGAGAAAACTTGTGATATTGGTCTTTCTCCATCTGGCTATTTAATTTAACATGATGATGTCTAGTCCCATCTGTTTTCCTGTAAATGAAAGACAGATGGACTATAGACCACCAAAAAAAAATTCTTAAGTCTCATAAACAGTTTTGGAAAAGGGGAAAGATTCCAAATCAACATGCAAAAACTCTTCTATCTCTTGATAATGAACCTGCTGAGAAAAAAAAATCAAGAAGACAATCCTATTCACAAGCGCCTCAAAAAATTAAATACTTAAGAATAAACTTAACTAAGAAGATGCTTTTTACATAAAAACTCTAAAACCCTAACAAAAGAATTCAGACATAAAAGATTGGAAAGATCTGTATTCGTGGATCAGCCGAAACAACAGTATGAAAATGTCCACATCACTACAGGCAATCTACGGATTCAATACAACCTCCATCAAAGTTCAAAGATATTTTTTACTTAAATAGGAAAATAAATACTAAAATTCTCTTGTAAGCCAAAAAGACCCTGAATAGCCAAAACAATCTTGAGCAAAAAGAATAATGCTAGAGGCATCACAACACCTAACTTTAAATTATGCTTCAAAACTATGGTAACAAAACCAACATGGTACTCACACAGAAACTAACAAGTTAGACTAGAATATACAGAAATAATAGGTACCCATCTAGTTATCACACAGTTTAAAATACATAGTTTATATTACACACATCTGAAGGTTTTACTGATTCATCTCTACTGGAACTTAAGTATCCCATTTCTCTATGCTTAAATATTTTATTTATGCATTGGTGTAGCAAGCAAAGGTGGCAATTTGTATTTAATACATATTTAAAAGCCTACATTATTATGAAATGTTTGCTATATCAGTTCTAAAAATATATGAAAATTTAGAATTCTTATTTTTCTATCTATCTGGTACCTGCTATTTATTTTTCATACATACATACCCAAAAAAACACACAAAAAAGAGGAAAATGGTTTATTTATAAAGCAGTTATCATTTACTTGCCTGTTTAACACAGTGGTTTGAGATTAGTGACATCTAAATTAAAGCAATATGGAAAATGGTTATATAGACTGGACTAAAATCAACCCTCAAGAGCAATTTTAATGATTATTATCTACTTGGAATTTATTTAGATTCATATGTTCAAAAGGAGAGTTGGGAGTCAGGACTAACCAGTAGGCCAAAATTAAAGGTCAGAAAGAATAATTTTAAA